CAGACTGTAATTAGAGGTGCAGTATCAGAGCCTCAGATCAGACTGCAATTTAAAAATGTTTCTGAGGGGACTCTGTCTGTCTCTCTCTCTCTGTCTGTCTCACTCTCTGTCTCTCTCTCTCTCTCAGCACCAGGCTCTTCACCTTCTCCTCTCCTCCAGAGTGCTGCAGAGCAAAACCAGGCGGTTACATAAAGCTCAAACTATGACTGCAGGAGGGAGCAGCGCCTGCTTTTCATAACAGCGTCTGATTATGAGGGGAGTGAAAATCTCCACGCTTCAGTTTTACAACGTCAGAATTATGTCAATTATATTACGTTTGCACTCATGTTTTGGTCAAAAGAAGATTCCCAGGCCATTTCTAAATATAAAAATATGAAAATAAAAGGCTCGTCTTATTTCACTGCTGCATAAACAGGCGTGTTTGTATATTCAGTGTGTTTTAAGAATTATTGGCACCAAAAGAACCGAGTCGAGTGAATCCATGGGCTCTGATTTCTTTTCCTAAAGAAAGGTCAGAGGTCTACACCCCTCGACTGATCATCTCTTTTACAGCTTTTGCATCAGTCACTGATCTACCCACAATCCCCTGCTGCTCAACAGCTTTGGTGTAGAATCTTTTCAAAAGCCAAAAACCAGCTGCATCTCTGCGTTCAATTCCAAGAATAAAACTAATTGCGTAACACGTTCACTCCCACACTCTGTTCACTTTGCATACGCCGCATCACCAAGGCCATCGGAGGATATTAAAGCGATAGACATCCATTTCCCGCAGCTCGCCCTCCCACCAAAACCTCAGACGTGGACATGCTTGGTGCCCAAGGTTTTTCGGTTTTAGCACTACAATCTCAGAAATCAGACACCTGAATTACTGCAAAGCTTTGGAAGTGGTTTCAATCTTGTGCATCGAGTAGAGATGAACGATTTGGGGAAAATATCTAATCGAGATTTTTCTGACTAATATTGCGACTGCAATTGAAATTGCGATTAATATCTATAAGGTATCAGGCCTGTTTTTTTATGGCCAAGAAGTTCTCTCGAGGCTTGAGGCTTGACCCCTGGATGTAGTGTGCCAATCTGCCAGGAAGTTGTGGTTGTGCTGTCACAACACATGGAGGTTTAGATGCCTCTGATTGGTCTAACTTATAGCAGGCAGTTTGCGAACTCAGTGTTATTGATTTCGATTTCCAGACGTTTTTGATGACACAGGCTTTAATTTTTAAAAATTGCAGCTCTTGTGATTTCAAAATTACTCTCTCTTAAATCAACATTTTGATTTTGATATAAAAATGTTCATCTTTCAGCCCCAGAATTGAGCACATCTGGAAAAAACTCAATGCAGCCAAGCTGCTCTCCCATTGGTTAGGACTTCAGGAGCTGGACTGAAGGCCTCACACGTTAGATTAACTACCAACATATTTAGGAAGTAACAGAAGAATCAACCAATAAAGCTTTGGGATCAATTTTGTGAAAAAGAAAACATCTGGAAATTCTAGGTGAATACGAGTCGTAGTCTAAGCAGTGTTCCGGTTAGTTGTTAGGAAAGTAAAACAGTGGCGGCAGCTCTACGTCAGGACTCTTCACTGAAAGAGTCACTGTAACACTGACACATACAAACTCAGATATCTGATAATGTCTGTTACCAGCTTCAAATACAACATACAGAATGACTTTTACAAGCTTCAAATGTTTGTGTTGAAACTAGGCCAAAAACGTTCATATAAGTCGCTGTTAGCTTAGTGCTAACATACTAATAGAATCCCATAGGAGTGCTAGCAGGAAATAGCATTATTATATAGGTGTTTGTTTGACTTTTATGACCCGAAATAGTCAAAGTTCACTACTGAAAAAACACGGCCAAAGCTACATTATCACAGCTAAAACAGTAGCAGGTATCTTGTGTGTACTTTACTTTTTCAGATGCCAGATAAATCATGGCTCATCGTCAGCATGTGGGATAATGCTAACTACGTTTTCAACTAACTGACCGTTTAATATGCTCCGTGCGGACAGTGGTGGACAGTGATGAAGTAAATGTAATTCGTTTCTGTACTTAAGTAGTTTTTTGTGTATCTGTACTTTACTGAAGTTTTTCCATTTTGGGCGACTTTTTACTTTCACTCCACTACATTTCAGAGTCTAATATCTCACTTTTTACTCCACTACATTACGAGAAATCTGTCGTTCCTTTTGGTTTATGTGTGAATAAAAACATAACGTCAAAATGAAAGAAGCGCAAAGCAAGAACACCAATCAGGGCACAGCGGTCACTTTGTTTAGAGCTTGTTTTGACCTGTTGGACAAACCGACCCAAGTTTGGAAGTGCCTATTCCTACATACACGATGGAAGAAACTCCTGACTCTAACCTAACTTTGTGTAAATAGACCACAATATAGAAATATGTACTCATATGCAGTTGTGACTGATGCGTCTTTTTTCTGAATTTATACAAACACATTTCATTTTATAGTAAATTAGTTTTGTCTAGTTTATGTTTATGAACAGAGACCTACAGATGCAGTTTAGTAAAGGAAACTCATTTGTGAATCTGAGTTTAAAGTTTTATTAAACTTAAACTTGTAACTAAGTTCAAATAAATCTTAAACTGAAACTTTGCTTGTTTGTAAAGTGATTTCAGAGCCACTCAGTTCTACCTGATGGAAACTGTTTGCCTTCAGTGTTTTGTGCTTATGATCATTTTAATAGACATCAGCGTCACTAATTAATGACCTTCTATTAAAAGACTGGTTTACCAAGAGAGACACTGGAGTATTTTCACCTAAAATGAGTTAATGAAGCGAGTCTTGTTATAAAAATGATAATAGGACATCAGAGCCATAATTAATCTTTTAGTACTTTTACTTTCATACTTAAGTACATTTGAAGAGAAATACTTTAGTACTTTTACTCAAGTGGAGGTCTAAAGGGAGGAACTTCTACTTTTACTGGAGTAATATTTTACCTCGGGTATCTCTACTTTAACTCAAGTATATGACGTGTGTACTTCGTCCACCACTGCGTGTGGATATGAAAGCAGAGATTTCACACACAGGACATTTTATAATGGGCTCTTTATTAAATACACATCATCGCTCAGCTGTAGTAAAACACACCCATGGCACACACATGTCTGGAAACATGGAAGTAGGAATATCGTCATAAAACCCAAACGCCGCTGCAAAAGATCACACAACGCTATAAAACGCCACTGACCACAACACTGTGTGCCCAAACGGTTCAGTATTTTTTCTGGTTCTCTTTACAAAAGGAATGTACCGATAGCACAAAATGTGAAGCGATCACTGAAGCCCCGTGTTCACAGGAAATACGCGATGAGACACTTCGGCCTAAGCTCATAACAACATCGGCTACGTCTGTAAACTTCGGATTAGACATTCCACCAAACAGAGCAAGGATTTATCCCACCACACATTTCCAAAGAATACGTGCACGGAATATTTAAAATATACACTGCTTTTTAATGAACATCTAATGCTTTATATGGTTTGGTTGTTTTTAATGTTGAAAACTTTGTACAAGTTAGTATCCACTAATTTGAATAATGGCAATTATAACCTCTCTTCATCTTTAGAATTAAACAGGCTGTTTTCATTTCTGTGCTTTTAAGACTAATATATGTAAATGAGCTTGGCTCTGACTGGCCACCCTGTATAGTACCTCGTTTACAAAGCAGTCCAGGGTGAAACACTCCTTATATCTTCAGCTTGAATGGATGGGGCTCACTTGCTGGAGGCCAAATGGGCGGGACTAAATGGCTGTAGGCTGAATGGGTGGGGCTAAACTGCTGTAGGCTGAATGGGTGGGGCTAAACTGCTGTAGGCTGAATGGTGGGGCTAAACTCCTGTAGGCTGAATAGGTGGGGCTAAATGGCTGTAGGCTGAATAGGTGGGGCTAAACTGCTGTAGGCGGAATAGGTGGGGCTAAACTGCTGGAGGCTGAATGGGTGGAGCTAAACTGCTGTAGGCTGAATAGGTGGGGCTAAACTGCTATAGGTGTAATGGGTGGGGCTAAACTGCTGTACGCTGAATGAGTGTGACTAAACTGCTGTAGGCTGAATGGGCGGGACTAAACAGTTGTGGGCTGAATAGGTGGGGTTAAACTGCAATAGGCGTAATGGGTGGGGCTAAACTGCTGTGGGCTGAATGGGCGGAGCATAACTGCTGTAGGCTGAATAGGTGGGGCTAAATGGCTGTAGGCTGAATGGGTGGGGCTAAACTGCTATAGGCGTAATGGGTGGGGCTAAACTGCTGTAGGCTGAATGGGTGGGGCTAAACTGCTGTAGGCAGAATAGGTGGGGCTAAACTGCTGGAGGCTGAATGGGTGGAGCTAAACTACTGTAGGCTGAATAGGTGGGGCTAAACTGCTATAGGCGTAATGGGTGGGGCTAAACTGCTGTACGCTGAATGGGTGTGACTAAACTGCTGTAGACTGAATGGGCGGGACTAAACAGTTGTGGGCTGAATAGGTGGGGTTAAACTGCAATAGGCGTAATGGGTGGGGCTAAACTGATGTGGGCTGAATGGGTGGAGCATAACTGCTATAGGCTGAATAGGTGGGGCTAAATGGCTGTAGGCTGAATGGGTGGGGCTAAACTGCTATAGGCGTAATGGGCGGGGCTAAACTGCTGTAGGCTGAATGGGTGGGGCTAAACTGCTGTAGCTGAATAGGTGGGGCTAAATGGCTGTAGGCTGAATGGGTGGGGCTAAACTGCTATAGGCGTAATGGGTGGGGCTAAACTGCTGTAGGCTGAATGGGCGGGACTAAACTGCTGTAGGCTGAATGGGTGGGACTAAACTGCTGTAGGCTGAATGGGCGGGACTAAACTGTTGTAGGCTGAATGGGTGAGGTTAAACTGCTTTAGGCTGAATGGGCGTGGCTAAACTGCTGTGGGCTGAATGGGCGAGGTTAAACTGCTTTAGGCTGAATGGGCGTGGCTAAAGTGCTATGGGCTGAATGGGCGTGGCTAAACTGCTGTGGGCTGAATGGGCGAGGTTAAACTGCTTTAGGCTGAATGGGCGTGGCTAAAGTGCTGTGGGCTGAATGGGCGTGGCTAAACTGCTGTGGGCTGAATATATACACTTAATTACATTTAAGCTGCTATTGACTGTGTGCACAAAATAGGCCGTGTCATTACAAATGGTTTTGAAAAAGGACAATTTCCCGTTTATTATGTAACCGACTGGTTTTCTTGTTCTTTTCGTAGGATTAAATGTATTATATATAGATAAATAACCGATATAAAAGAGAAATAAGCCTGTTTTTTAAACATAAATTAGACCTTTGCAGTGTTCTGTGCACATATTCTTTGGACATCAGGCTAAAAAAGGTACTCTATTTGGTATGACGTCTCAGATGTGGTTCTGCGGTGCTTTAATACTACACAGAAAAACAAAGCGGCTGATTTTCCTGCTCTGGTTGATGGGACGAGTCAGAATCGTGAAGAGGAACGAGGGAAACAGGCTTCGGAGCGACAAAAAACGACCTGCCTCTAGTGCGGAATAAGATGGAAGTTCATTTATACACAATAGCTGGTAGTGCATCTCTGTACTCGTCCATACGTAAAGTCCACTTAAACGCTTTGTAAACACGTCAGAGCCGCCGTCGCTACTGTCCGCTTCAGTTTCACGACTGTTTACATCACCCGCCGCAGGCCTGAAGGTGCAGAGCAAAGTACCACATATATACTCGTGTGCTTTCCGTACAATCACAGCCTGGCTTTTCCACCAGAGTTTAAAAAGTGCATCGTCTTTGTGATTCAAACGTTTTATAAGTGATGTTTCTACCCTGAAAGAGTACAGCTAGGTTGCAAGAGGAAAAAAGAAAATGAACAATTAGAACTGTTTTCGCTCAGGTCGTCGTGTTTACACTGCTCTGCTGTACTGTTTTAGACTGGATCGTGTCTGTAAACATCCATAATGTACATTAGTTTGGGTCAGAAGCATCTCTGAGGACAGAATGAACCATCCGGGTTCATCAGGACACACTTATGTACAGAAAAATGTGCAACTTTTATTATTCACTCAGTTCAGTCTCAGTTCCTCTCATTCATCATGATTATTTTCCACCGGTATGTAAGACGTCTCACCCATCCCTCCCTCTCTCTCCACCTCTTTCCATCTCTTTATCTTCTTCTCTCTCAGCGTCCCGGAGTGAAGATGTAGTCCAGCGCCTGCCGCTCAGCCGCCGCCACGTTTGGATGCCAAAGATCCACCATGAAGACCACTCTGGGGCCGTCTTCGGGAGAGCCTGAGGCCACGCAAACACAAACACGCGGAAAAGATTTGCTTTATTATGAAGCTTTTAAACGGAGAGGCATTAAAACTGCACAGATACCACAATGGCTGTGTCCCAATTGTGCACTAAAATACTAGTGTTGGACAATTAAATACGTACTATACAGTTTTAAGAAAACGTTTGGGCACAAATCCAATTGAGGTCTAGATTAGAAGGCCTGTGACAAAGTGAACAGGACATAATTTAAGGACATAGGCCAAAACAGTGTGCTATATAGTGAAGAAAGCAGTATCAGGACACACAGCATATTTAGACACAGCCTAAAATAGCGAATAGTTTGGTAAAATGCACAGCTTCAGGCACAGGCAAAATTAGTGCTCTACATAGTGGATAGGGCAAAGTTTCAGGACACAGCCCAAAACAGAGCACTGTATAGGGAATAGGGGATTCTTTCAGGACACAGCCTAAAACAGTGCACTGTATAGTGAATAGGGGACTGTTTCAGGACACAGCCTAAAACAGAGCACTGTATAGTGAATAGGGGACTGTTTCAGGACACAGCCTAAAAAGGGCACAATATAGTAATTATTCCATAGCTTTAGACACAGGCAAAATAATGCTCTCTATAGTGAACAGGGCATAGTTTCAGGACACAGCCCAAAATATTGCACTATATAGTGAATAGGGGACTGTTTCAGGACACAGCCCAAAAAGGGCACAATATAGTAAATGCTCCATAGCTTTAGACATAGGCAAAAATAGTGAACTATATAGTGAAAAGGGCATAGTTTCAGGACACAGCCCAAAACAGAGCACTGTACAGTGAATAGAGTGTAGTTTCAAGACAGAGCCCAAAATAGTGCACTATATAGTGAAAAGGGCATAGTTTCAGAACACAGCCAATATAGTGCACAATGTAGTGAAAAGGACGTCATTTCAGGACGCAGCCCAAAATAGTGCGCTACATAGTGAACAGCGCATAGTTTCAGGACACAGCCCAAAATAGTGCACAATATAGTAAAAAGGACATCGTTTCAGGACGCAGCCCAAAATAGTGCACTACACAGTGAACAGGGTGTAAATTCAGGATGCAGCCCAAAATGGTGCACTACATAGTGAACAGGGTGTAGATTCAGGACACAGCCCCAAAACAGTGCACTATACAGTGAATAGGGCATAGTTTCAAGAATAAAATAGTGCACTACATAGTGAACAAGCCATTGTTTCAAGACACATCCCAAAATAGTGCACTACATAGTGAATAGCACATAGTTCTAGACACAGCTTAAAAAAAGGGCACAATACAGTAAATATTTCATAGCTTCAGACACAGGCAAAAATAGTGCTCTCTATAGTGAACAGGGCTAGTTTTGGACACAGTCCAAAACAGTGCACTATACAGTGAACAAGGCACAGTTTCAGGACAAACTCTAAGATAGTGCTCTATATAGTGAAAGATCATAGCTTCAGGACACAGCCCAAAACAGTGTGCTATATTGTGACTAGATGGTAGTTTGGGACACAGCCTCTCTCACCATCGTGAAAGGCCGTGTGCAGGAACGAATCGTCGAACAGCAGACAGCTTCCCTCAGACCAGCACTGCGGCTCCCCACCGACAACCAGCTCACAGTTCGAGGGCACCTTCAGACCTGCACACACACACACACACACATCACACAGAGTCATACACACACCTTCAGACCTGCACACACACACACATCACACAGAGTCATACACACACCTTCAGACCTGCACACACACACACATCACACAGAGTCATACACACACCTTCAGACCTGCACACACACATCACACAGTCATACACACACCTTCAGACCTGCACACACACACACATCACACAGAGTCATACACACACTCACCTTCAGTCCTGCAGACACACACACACACATCACACAGAGTCATACACACACCTTCCCAACTGAGTAGCTCACACTCTCACCTTTAAAAGTCCAGGGAACACAGTGGACATGATACACGCTAAAATGTAGTTAACACTGTCACACTGCGTTATATGCTGTGATATACAGTGTTATACATACAGCAAAATTTGAATGATACAAAATACAGAAACATAATAATAAAACAAAACACTAAAATCGCCTATCAGCTCTATCTGAGAAGTGCCTGGGCGTGGCCTAATATTCTGATGAGTGTGTGTGATTGACAGCCCTCAGTCCAACACTACCTGCCTGCTAGAGCAGCGAAGCTGAACACAACGGTGCGAGTGAAGAGGAGAAATGAGTGAAACGAGCTCTACGTGTACAGGTGGTGTTGTGGACCTCGCTGTGTCCACTCACTAAAATCAGTCTCCAGATTTTATATGGAGAACCTTAAAGAAGGTTCTTATTGATTTCAGTAATGTACCTGCATCCAGGGGACACCGGTAAGGCCAGCTAAACGGACAGACAGACGGACGACAGGCAGACAGATGAGCTAGCCTGCAGTTATGTTTGCTACGTTAGCTTTCATTCAGTGGTTAACTTTCTCACGTCGTTAGCTTAGCTTCGGTGGGTAGATTAGCTTGATGTTTAGATTAGTTTGGAGGTTAGATTAGTTTGGTTGTTAGCTTTCTCTCAGTGGTTAGCTTTCTCTCAGTGGTTAGCTTACGCTTGGTGGTTAGCTTTCATTCAGGGGTTAGCTGTCTCTTGATGGTTAGTCTTCTCTTGGTGGTTAGCTCTTGCTTGATGGTTAGCTTTCTCTTGGTGGTTAGCTTTCGCTTGGTGGTTAAATTAGTTTGGAGGTTAGCTTTCTCTTGGTGGTTGGCTTAGCTTGACGGTTAGCTTTCTCTTGGTGGTTAGATTAGTTTGGAGGTTAGATTAGTTTGGTGGTTAGTTTAGTTTGGTGGTTAGATTAGTTTGGTTGTTAGCTTTCTCTCAGTGGTTAGCTTTCTCTTGGTGGTTAGCTTACCTTGGTGGTTAGCTTTCATTCAGGGGTTAGCTGTCTCTTGATGGTTAGTCTTCTCTTGGTGGTTAGCTTTCTCTTGGAGGTTAGTTTAGCTTGGAGGTTAGTTTAGCTTGGTGGTTAGTTTAGTTCGGTGGTTAGATTAGTTTGATGGTTAGCTTTCTCTTGGTGGTTAGCTCTTGTTTGATGGTTAGCTGAGCTCCTCCCCCTTTGCCTTCAGACAGTGTCCTCTTGGTTGATACGTACAATAACTGTATTTTATATTGCCTGTTTAAGAATTACATATATTTAAAATTCCTTTCAGCCAGACCTCAGTTTCCCCAGAAACTTGGGTTCTACTAGATTTACCGCTCTTGGGAGCCCCCTCAGGCGCAGCACCGACTGCCTGTCGTTCTCTTCTGTAACTCTGACCAGCAGGCAACAGTTCCTAACTTCATAATCTCATCATGAACTCCAGATAATAAAACAGCATCACACAAACATCCTAACTAGACTGAACCTCCTAAATCCTGTCCTAACTTTAGGATGAACCCCAACAGGGTCCTCACTTCTGTTTAAGGTCCGTTTCTATGGTTTTTAGGCAGCTGAGTCAGCAGCATAGTTCACTACCAGCATAATGAGCTCCATTTATTTGTACTGTAAAACGCTGCTTTCACTGTGAGATGATTTTCTTTTCTAACTCTGCGTTTTAAAGATCTCAGACGCTGCAGACTCTCCACCGCCCCTCTGATCACCTTCGTGTGTTAATGTTGATGATGAAATATTACAGTGATGGTGGTGAATAATGAGGAGACGGAGCTGAACGTGTGTCTGTTTATTAGGAGGAGGAACGTTAGCGCGCTCGGCTAAAGCGTTTGGGAAATGGAGACTGAAACTGGGGAGCGGCGACGCTCTGATAAACAGCAGGGGGCACTCTCACAGTATTCACTACTTACAGTTTATCACACTTTAGCTGTGTTTGACCTTTTTCACATCAGTAACTGTAGCTGTTTGACTAACTAACCTGATTATGTTGATTCTGTTGTTGTGTTTGGGTTTCAGCTGTGTTTGTATGGTTGGTTGCTTGGTAACAGGCATGACAACTGTTTGCCGACTTTGATCGAGTAGGTTAAGATTTCCTAACTGGAGATAAGATCCTGTAAGATCAGATAAAATTCCTAAATTAAGATCAGATTTGCTTCTGTAATATGAATTTGTGAAACATCTTACCTTGACCTGTCAGATTCTAACCAAGATAGGAAGGTTCTGTAATACAACCCCTGGTCTACGGTTTGTCTGAGTTCTTTGGAGAACCCCCACCACAATGTGGTGAAATTCCATCGGCTTCAAAACCGTGTCGCCTTTTCAGGTGAGCTGACGAGTTTGTGGTTTTACCTGAGTCTCTTAATTCACACTTACATTCTTTGCAAACGGCAAAGGTCTCGTCTGTCTGACAAGGGCTGCACATGTGAACGACGCAAAGCCTGAGTATTACCAGTAAAAGTATCCTGATACTGTCCCGGGTTCTGAGTATGAAAGGGGCTAATATAACTATTAACACTGCTTTAAGTACAAACTGACTGACACCCAGTCTGACTGAAGTCCATACTAATCTCTTAGACTGCAGGCTTATTATTCCTAAGCTTATTATCCAGCTACTATGAATTATTCAGTAATGACTGTGACTCACATGCAGAGTTTAATGTTGTTCAGAGTGGTTTGGTGTGAAACGCTCTGTTCTAGATAAACTTACCGAGTCAGAACTGTTCACAGTGGTGCTGATAGGAACCAGACGTCCACCTCTAAAAGCTCCCTCACAGAAAGTTACTACATGAAATGGTTATGAATTCACTGCCTGATGACTGAGACACTGTTTTATGGTAGTTTAGAGAACTTAAACTCCATTCATGGTGGAGGGATACATGCAGGGCGCTGTGAGGCAAAATAGTCCCCAAAGAAAACTTATTATTTCAGATTTTCCACTATTTTCCATCATCAACATTCCATATAAACTCAGAAGACTCGTGTAGGTTCACTGGTGGTTCTGGATAGTAAATAAAATGTCTATATTTGTGTTGTAGTCATGGCGACCCCTGGTTCCTATCACCACCACTGAACCATTTCACACCAAACCACTCTGAATTACTCTGCTTACATGTCAACAAATTATGAAGGAATTTTTATAAAAATGGGTGGAATTCCCCTTCAAGAACACAATAAAGCTCACTATCTGCCCAGAAACCAGGTCAGGCATGCAAGCGACTAAACCAGTAACACACTTTCACACTTCTTCTGTCCTTTCAGTCCTCTCAGGGCGCTCTTACCCAGGTGGCAGCGTAGGCGGACGTTGGTTGGACCGTAGTGTTCGGAGATAGTGGCTCCGGGGCTCAGGACGGAGAAGCAGGCGTTCCCAAAAACGTTATTAGCGATGAAAGTGCGGAGCTGACCCAAAACCCTCCATGTCCGCGGGCAGCGGCGGGCGTTCAGGGCCATGGGGGTGCCCTGGTTCACCAGGTAGAAGGTCCACCAGTGGCCCCGGGGCGTGCTGTTGGCCTTCCAACCCGGCGGGAGCGAGGATCCGGTCCGTGACGAAGGCAAGCGGTACACGCTCTCGAACTCGGCCAGCAGAGCAGGAAAACTGCGCTCCAACAGCTCCACATCATGCTTCTGCGCCTCACGGGAGAAGAACGGCGCCGAGGGCAGGTCGGGCAAGAAGAACACCTCGGGTTTCTGGATGGACGGGCGGCTGCAGAGCAGGTAGCGCCCCTGGTCCCGCACGCCCTTGTGCACCCGGCCCATACCTGCCCAGGTGTAGCGCTTGGCGTAGTCCTGCAGGCTGTGGTAAAGCCGCTGGTTCAGACCCTCGCCCGGCCGCGAGCAGCGGAAACACTCCGGAGACTGGCAGTACGCAAATCCGTTCAGTTCTTCTTCAGTAGCTCCGCCCCCACCTCCGCTGACTCCACCCACCTGAAACAGTTTTATCAATACGTTGTTTAGATTGTTGGCATTATATTAAGTGTATATACCACAGTTAGCTTTACACTGTGGAACGTCCTTTCAACTGGCTGGAAGCAGATTTATACTGGATTAAAATCACTCCACAATTATTACAGTCAGACTGTAAAACTACACACACTGCAGATTCATACTGGATTAAAATCACTCCACAATTATTACAGTCAGACTGTAAAACTACACACACTGCAGATTCATACTGGATTAAAATCACTCCACAATTATTACAGTCAGACTGTAAAACTACACACTGCAGATTCATACTGGATTAAAATCGCTCCACAATTATTACCATCAGACTGTAAAACTACACACACTGCAGATTCATACTGGATTAAAATCACTCCACAATTATTACCATCAGACTGTAAAACTACACACACTGCAGATTCATACTGGATTAAAATCACTCCACAATTATTACCATCAGACTGTAAAACTACACACACTGCAGATTCATACTGGATTAAAATCACTCCACAATTATTACTGTCAGACTGTAAAACTACACACACTGCAGATTCATACTGGATTAAAATCACTCAATCAATGTTATTTTGTTTGCAATTATATTACTTGATTTGAAATGATTCAATGTGATCACATGGTATGCTATCAGCGTTTTGATTGGCCGTGTCAGAAACAAAACTGAGACACTGAAGATGTTGTGGTTGGCTATCACACAAGTTTCATGTGAACTGCATGAGGCTTTACATTATGAACCTAAGAAATTATGAAAGAATTTTAGTTTGATTTCATTTCTAATAAATCTGAGTGAAAGTTTCACCACATCAGTCCAGCAGATTAAGCAGTATTTTCTCAGGGGGAATGTAAGAGGATACCTGGCGGAGTTTGGACGATGCCAGTCGGCTGGAGAGGTCGGAGGTCAGGACGCTGGCGGGCAGGGCGCCGCCCCCGCGGGTTTCGGGCGTGTACCCGCCTCGGAGAGAGGGCACGCTGTGCTCACAGCCCACACGGTAACAGTACCAGATGAAGAGCAGTGCCAGGCAGAGGGCAGTGCCCAGGGCCCCCCCCTCGCACTCCCGCACAGACTGCATGCCCCCCGCCACCCACTCACGCATCCTCTCCAGAGACCACTCCATCACTCACTCGCTCGCTCGCTCACTCACTCATACCAGGGCTGTCACGATTACTTGATTAAACGTATCAAATAAAAAATCATCAATTAACAAATTAACACCTTGAGGGCAAATACTTCAGTTATTAATCTTAAGACCTTATCAGTGTCTGCTTTGAAGTATTCAGTGTCTGGTATGAATTATTCAGTGTCTACAATTAATTATTCAGTGTCTACAATTAATTATTCAGTATCAAGTATGAATAATTTGGTATCTAGTATGAATTATTCAGTATCTAGTTTGAAATATTCATTGTATACAATTAATTATTCAGTGTCTGGTATGAATTATTAAGTATCCAGTATGAATTATTCTGTATCTAGTATGAATTATTCTGTATCTAGTATGAATTATTCTGTATCTAGTATAAATGACTCAGGATCTTGTATGAAATTAATGTGTACGTTCTACAGAACCTTAAACTTTAAGGAGCCAATCGAAATTTTGCTTCTCAAATATATGTACAGAGGAAGTATGGAAAAATATGCCAGTGTGGACGGAGCAAATCACTATAAATTCCAAGTTGGGCGCAACTGTCTGTTGATGTAGCAAAAAACTCAGTACAGTAGAAAAAACGTTCAAAGCAGCAAAGACGTTCAAAAAGACAACAACACAGGCTAAGCTAAGCTAACTCACTGTCTATAACAGCCCACAGTATGACTGCAATTACTCAGCTGGGACACTTGATATCAGCCACTTATTTGCCAGCTGCAGAATTTCCTTTTGGGAGCGCAGCCGCTCCTTTCACTGTCGTTTAAATGCTAACGACTTCAAAGCTGTTCTAGCGCACTAATAGAAGAGTTCTGGCCAAATGTGATTAGCCTACAAATTAGCCTGGAATCTGTGAAATTAAACCGCAGCACATTGTGCATCTAAACATTTGTTGTCATATGTTGATTTTGTCTATAGCAAAAGCTCTTCTGTACAGACTACAGTGACTGTAAACGTACGTAATAATGTGATTAATTCAGAATTCAGCTCGCGTACGTTATTGTGTCATTTTGTGTTTATCCTACTAAACAGTCAGATTACTTGTGTGCTAATATAAGTGACGGTGACAGCCCTAACACGCGCTCAAACAACATCCATCACGCGCACGTGTGTGAGAGCAGTGAGGATGGAGCTCATTTTTGGGTGGACTGTCCCTTCTCCTCCGTTTGTCCATGTTTTTCCCCGTGTCAGAGCTTCAGCAGAGTCCCGGCGCAGCCATATGCTGAGACTCCGGTCTGTGTGGATCTGTGTGTGTGTGTGTGGAGCGCGGGAGAGTGTGTGTGGCAGCCTCCAGCCGTTGGGGATTTCAGCTGCCGCTCTGCTCTCCGTCCAGACGGACGCGGAAAGACACGATACACCGCAGGGCACCTGGGGGACAACAGACATTTCAGACAGTGACAGAGAAAAGGGAGGATTCAGTACTGCAGCAGAAACGGGGACAAACACAGCGCGCATGCATGCACACACACACACACACACACACACTGACATGCACACACATACGCACACACACACACACACACACACACACTGACACGCACACACACACACGCGCGCGCACACACGCACACACAGACCAAGGTCTGTTTTTATACAATGTCAGGAAATGGGGATGAACATATGCATATATCCCATATGCATTATTTATATAAAAGTACCCATACATAATAATACTACCAATAATAAGACCCATATGTATTATATATACACTCTACACAAAAGCCCGAACACTCTCTGCTCAAATGACCTGTTCTGTTGGTTTTCTGAGTGAAAAATAAGTTAACGCGCCCTCGACGGCGAAACTTTAGTGCACAATCTAAATGTATTTATTCTATTTAGTTATTAGGAAATCAACAAAACACACAATTTGACCAGGGGCGCCAAAACTTTTGCATATGACTTTACATGTAAATACCTATATATAATAATAATATATTCCATATATTAAGTAAGTACCTATATACAATAATAGTCCTTATGTATAATAATGTCAGATCCAATATTTATTATGTATAGGAAAGCGCATATATGCAACAATATTTGGTCCTGTATGTAATACATACATTACATATGTACATTCATATATATATATATATATATATATATATATATATATATATATATATGAAAGTGCCTATATTTAACAATATTAGGTCCTATATATATTATGTATATGTAAGTGTCTGCATACAACTATATTAGGCCCAATATGTATTATATATGTATGATATTAGACCTCATATGTATATGAGATTATATATAACAATATTAAATGTGATATATATAACAACAATAACTACAAATGACAATACTACAAATGTTTTACTGAAGCAATAGAATACACAAACGAGTGTGGTGAATAACATCACGCCTGTGATTTGGTCGAACTGAAGGAGAGCACAGTAGATCATCAGCCGTGATGTTCTTCACCACAGCACACAGCATCCGGTGATCTACTGGTTTAATACAACACAGAGCAGAGCAGAGGAGCCTGAACACTGTATCAAACTTAATATCTGCAGTTCCTTCCACCACAAACAGTAGAGCCCTTCTGCGTTACAGACAGAGCCGTAAAACTGAGTGAATATCAGGTTGAGCTCAGCTTTTTCAGCGTTCGTCCAGATGAAGCTGAATGTGGTTCGGTTCAGTCAGACGGTAAAGCGTTTCACAGCCCGTCTGCTTTGCTGAATTAGATTCTGTTCAGCTCAAATACAGTTTGTTTAGTTGTTCAGTTGTTGCAGGTCAAATGAAACTTACTAATGATTAGTTGTAAACGGTGCCCAGCGGAATGATAGTTCCGATATTGTGAAAAAATATGTACTGTTATCACAAATATCAGCACGAATGGAGAACTTGTCAACCAATCAGATTATGCCACAGGAACAAACTGTTGTATACATATATGTAAATGCGTACTACATATAAAAGTATGTACACTACATGTAGTTATTACATAATATATTGCATATATACTGCTATGTTATAACACTCTAACAATAATACTATACTAATAAATACTACAATAATAATCAAATACAAAAATTTGTATTCCTTGTTCACAAACTGCACTAATTACAGTTAAACAGGCCTAATTGTGTGTGTGTATATATATATATATATATATATATATACACACACACCGATCAGGCTTAATATTATGACCACCTCCTTGTTTCTACGCTCATTGTCCATTTTATCAGCTCCACTTACTATATAGGTGCACTTTGTAGTTCTACAGTTACAGACTGTAGTCCATCTGTTTCTCTGATACTTTGTTAGCCCCCTTTTACCCTGTTCTTCAGTGGTCAGGACCCCCATGGACCCTCACAGAGCAGGTACTATTTGGGTGGTGGATCATTCTCAGCACTGCAGTAACACTGACGTGGTGGTGGTGTGTTAGTGTGTGTTGCGCTGGTCTGAGTGGATCAGAGTTTTTAAACACCTCAGTGTCACTGCTGGACTGAGAATAGTCCACCAACCAAAAATATCCAGCCAACAGCGTCCTGTGGGCAGCGTCCTGTGACCACTGATGAAGGGCTAGAGGATGACCAACACAAACTGTGCAGCAGCAGATGAGCCATCGTCTCTGACTTTACATCTACAAGGTGGGCTGACAAGGTAGGAGTGTCTAGTAGAGTGGACAGTGAGTGGACACAGTGTTTAAAAACTCCAGCAGCACTGCTGTGTCTGATCCACTCGTACCAGCGCAACACACACTAACACACCACCACCACGTCAGTGTTACTGCAGTGCTGAGAATGATCCACCACCCAAATAGTACCTGCTCTGTGAGGGTCCATGGGGGTCCTGACCACTGAAGAACAGGGTAAAAGGGGGCTAACAAAGTATCAGAGAAACAGATGGACTACAGTCTGTAACTGTAGAACTACAAAGTGCACCTATATAGTAAGTGGAGCTGATAAAATGGACAATGAGTGTAGAAACAAGGAGGTGGTCAGAATGTTATGCCTGATCGGTGTGTGTGTGTGTATATATATATATATATATATATATATATATATATATATACATACATAAAATAAGAACCACGTCAGTCTGGATGTTTTTGTGCTGAAAATGTACAAAAACAATCACATACACACACATATATACACACACCTGCCTCCCTCTGGCAGCTCAGATCATCCAGCATGATCATTTCTATATACCACCCACACACACATACTACAGAAATATATTTTGTTTGTCTCTCTCTCCCCCTCTCTCTCTCTCTCTCTCTCCCTCCCCCCCTCTCTCTCTCTCTCCCTCTCTCTCTCTCTCTCTCTCTCTCTCTCAGGCACCGCAGCGCGCGCAGGCGAGTCATTTGAGATTCAGTTTCTGTGCACACCTCCGCACTGCACTGTTCAAACCGTGACTCATGAGAGAGGAGCAGCGATTCAGACGGTCCAGCCCTCAGCCTACCCGCAGCCGGACTGCTGACCACAGCCTGCAGACGGACTGTACCAGCACAGTGCAAACTGGAAAACAGACCATAATAATGAGCCGCTGTCAGCGCAGACGGAGAACCTGAGGGCCACCAAACAGCGCAGCGCACACACAGGCGGAGCGGCACACACTGCATACATTACACTCAGCCAATCAGAGGACACGACAGCAGCGCTATGCAAATCTCACCGAGAGAGTCACCAATCAGCGGCGCTGAGACGCTCCAGACTAACATACAGACACATCACTGTCTCCCCCAACTCTCTCTCTCTCTCTCTCTCTCTCTCTCTCTCTCTCTCTCCTTCACACATCGCTCTCTCTCTCTCTCTCTCTCTCTCTCTCTCTCCTTCACACATCGCTCTCTCGCTCTCTCTCTCTTTCTCTCTCTCCCTCTCTCCTTCACACATCGCTCTCTCTCTCTCTCTCTTCTTCCCTTCTTTCACACGTCTCTCTCTCTCTCTCCACCCTTGGTATGTCCTATCTCCTTCCTTTTACATCTCTTTCTCTCATTCTTTACATGTCTCTTTCTCTCTTCCCTTATCTTTCTCTCTTGCCAATGCTTCACATATCTCTGTCTCTTTCTCTCTCCATCCTTGGTATTTCTCTCTCTCCCTATCTCTCTACACTCTCTCCACCACTGGTATCTCTCTCTCTCTCCTTCTGTCATCCTATGCACATTTCTCTCCCTCCCTTCTTTCACACGTCTCTCTATACTCCTACCCCCCACCCTTTCCTTCTTTCTCTCTTGCCAATGCTTCATATCTCTCTCTCTCTTTCTCTCTCCTTCCTTGGTATTTCTCTCCCTATCTCTTTACGCTCTCCATTAGTATTGCTCTCTCTCTCTCTCACCCTCTCTTCTTTCACACGTTTCTACTTCACAGGTCTCTCTATTCTCCCTCTCCCTCTCTCAACCTTCACACCCCTCTCTCCCTCCCTTCTTTCACACGTCTCTTTCTCTCTCTCTCTTCACCCTTGGTATGACTCTCTCACTCTCTCTATACACCACTGGTATCTCTCTCTCTCTCCCTCTTTCTACTTCCCTTCTTTCACACGTCTCTTTCTCTCTTATACTTCACAGGTCTCTCTATACTCTCTCTCTCTCTCACCCACCCTTCTTTCACACGTCTCTACTTCACAGGTCTCTCTATTCTCCCTCTCCCTCTCTCATCCTTCACACCCCTTTCTCCCTCCCTTCTTTCACACGTCTCTTTCTCTCTTATACTTCACAGGTCTCTCTATACTCTCTCTCTCTCTCCCCACCCATAGTATTTCTCTCTCTCTCTCCCTCTTGGTAGATCTCTCTCTCTCTCTCTCTCTCTCTCTCTCTCTCTCTCTGTCACTGGTCGTCCATTATGACAGAGCCTGCTGGGCAGAGACACACAAACCCCTCCGTCTCATTTACACAGCAGCACAACAAAGACAAAGTCAGCCGCGACGTCCACGCAGTGACCAATCCACCAACTAAACATCAACTATAATAGTAGTAATAATAATAACAATAATAATAATAATAATACTGATAATAATAGCTGCTCACCTGTGCTGTCAGGTCGTTAAACCCTGATCATGTAAACACCGCAGTGCAACAGGAACTACGGAGTACTGAGGCGTTGTGCGGAGCAGCTCACAAAATCCCGCAAAATTCACTTCAGTTTGTGCAAAAACTGCTTTTTCTGCGAGCGTCACTGCAGCACAAGGACCGCAGCGCGCGCCCCTCACGCTGCTCACAATCAGAGCTCATTTCTGAACACGAACCGACGTCGAATTCGGAGTTCCGACCGAAGAACTACAACTCCCATGATGCACTGCGCAACGAAACGACTCTCCCTGGTGCTGCGCGAAGCTGAAATTTCAGCAAAAGCCACTTTACGAACGGGTTAAGCTCCCTACGCCGTTACTGCTGTTCTACTTTTCTGTGTTTACGTTTAATACTTTAATGTAAACGAGTCAAAATTCGGACCGCGGATTAGCGCTGTAGTCTGGAGTCCGCGGAGATCTAACGTTACGCGTCTTAGAGACAATCCTGAACAGCGCGACTGCTTTAAAATGTGAAGATAGGCTACAGACCCGCTCAGAGACGAGGTTTAATTATGAAATAAAGGATAAAAGTTTGAATTTTACCTTTAGACACAGCAGCATGCGCTGGTCGTTTCCTGTCGTGAATGCTTTGTGGAGGAGCAGCAGTGTTGGTGAACGCCCCCTGCTGGAGCACAGCGGACTCTACAGGGCCAGATTTCTGTATTTGTTGTTTTGGCCTTCTCAGAAGTTAAATCAGACAAAAACCTACCAGTTTTATGTTTGTGTTTTAGCGTGAGATTAAACTGCATCCACAAAGTGCTGTTTGGAGTATGTTAAAGGGGAGCTCCACCAATTTTTCAAAAATTCTGCATAATAAAAACTCCCTCTAAAAACTCCCTGTCAGAAAGTTACTACATGAAATTGTTATAGATACGTTCTTTAGTGACTGAGACATTTATGACAGTTCTGCGCTCAGGCTTGGCTTCATACATAGTTCAATCCATTCATGGTGAAGGGATACATGAAGGATGTTCGAAGGCAAAATAGTCCCCAAAGAAAACTTATTATTTCCAGATTTTCCTCTATTTTCCATCATCATCATTCCATATAAACTCAGAAGACTTGTGTAGGTTCACTGGTGGTTCTGGATAGTAAATAAAATGTCTATATTTGTGTTGTAGTCATGGCGACCCCTGGTTCCTATCACCACCACTGTAAAGAGATCTGAACCATTTCACACCAAACCACTCTGAATCACTCTGTTTACACCTCAAATTCTGTATTATGCAGAAATTTTGGTGGAATTCCCCTTTAAAGTCTGTTTTTGTCATGATCGTTTTTTGTATTCCCTACTGTACATTTCTTTACTATATATTAAAAAAGGTCTGTGGCGACAGGCAGAGTAGCCTACACTGTTTACAACCATATAAAACAACCTTGTTGCAGATAAATGTTTAAAGTGATTCTAATATGGTGGTAAAATTGTATAGATTCTCGTTTTAAAATTAAGAAATTTTAAAATTTTACAATTAAGAAATGCTTGGTGATGAATGGAGCGGTAGATGACTGCATACTAATTAAGAAAGCCACCTATTATTAAGAATGAACTTATAATATAATTAATATCCAGAATGCCTCATAGTCAAAAGCGGTGACCAAATCTCAAAGATTAAATATGGTCATTTTGTGACAAAAAAATACTGTAAACAAATAATTACACTTTATTACTGAATTATACTTACTATTTTGTACCATGAAATAAACTCTGTTTATTCCCAAAATGCTTTGTATTGTGATTAAATTACCGGTTTATGATTTAGTGTCTAGGTTATTACATTTTAATCTACACTGTATATGTGTTATTAATAAGGGTATCCAACATCAGCTTCCTAAATATTAAATAAATATTCCTAAACATTCCATATAAACACCAAACCACTGTGAATCACTCTGTTTACACCTCACACACTGAATTATACGGAGATTTTGGAAAATTAGTGGAGCTCCCCATTAAATGTGAGAGCGATAAAGGTACCAGAATGGATTTTTAACCCTCTTTTAACTCTGAGTCCAGTCTTATCCTCCAGTGTTGGTGAGCTGTTAAGAACGAACCTGATATCTTTGATCTCTGGCTTCATCTCTTTGAGCGTGTGTCTCAGTCTGTGGCCCTTTTCGTTCATATACATGCATGTTTTGGTCATTTCTGGTACCGTGTTGTAGCCAGAAAAGCAGATAGAGCCTCACGAATGGTCTGCAAGTGTGTGAATTATTAGTGAATTAGTGAATTGGTAGATAAGCAGCAGCGCAAACATGCTGTGCAGTTAGTCGGTAAGACTGTGATGCAAAAGTGAGATAAATCAGAGAGATAAAATCTACCACATTCAGACAGTAACTGCTCAGAAGTGGCTCTGTAACCCGTTTAGCTCAGCTCTTTCATCTGGAGGCCTAGTTCTCCTCCTAGAAGAGTGACGTTAATAGCCATGTTATTAATGCTTATAGCACATTTTCAGTGCTTATCAACATGTAGTAATCTCCTGTTTGAAATGATGCAGTGCTAGTAAACGCTCACTGTGGCCTGCTTTCCTCTGCCCACTGCTCACGACAGCCTGTCTGAACCTGCAGCTAAGACTACAAGTGTTATTTTACTGGACCGTGTGGCAGAAAGGGGAATTCCACTGAAATTGAAAAATTTCTACATAATTTAGTGCTTGAGAGTCATTCAGAGTGGTGTGGTGTGAAATGATTCATTATAGAGACCCCAACCAACTTCAGTAATGGCTTTAACAAGCCGCGGGGGAATCCACATCGCCACCTTAAGGGCAGTTCCATTACTGTTTTAGCTGAAGTGAAGGGTGTTGGATGAGCCCTCGGAGGGGTGAGGGACCGAACGAACGCCAGTATCGACTTCAGCAGCAGAACTTACCCAGAATTCATTGACGCTTTTCCCTTTTAGACCTGAAAATGCTGGGGGACAAAGCTGTTACAGCAATAAACTACATTAACCCCTTAAAATCCAGGCTTTTTACACACTAAGGCTTATTGTTAACTACAGGGACTTCAATGCAAACTAGCTGAGCTATTCTTAGGTCATAATATCTTCATTTACATGTAATACTATCCTTATTTATAGGGCACTTTTCATACTGGTGGCAGTTCAAAGTGTTTTACAGACAGTTGATAATGTTTTACAGTAATAGGATGGGTTATAGAAGGGTGTAATAAAACATTAGCAGGCTGTGGCTTTTTAAAGGGGTTACAATGCTCAACATCTCAACACCAAAACACTTGACTTGCTGGGCTTTAAGTTACAAACGGCTCCATCTACATCTACTATACACGACTGCTGATACAGCTTCATCACTTTCCCTCTGCCAGTTAAGGTGACCAGATTTCTGAAATGAAAACCAGGGATGTTTCCAGTTCAGCGGTCAATATTTCATTAAAATATCCAGTGGTCAGTAGACAGCAGCAAGAGCCCCCTCTGCTGGCCAAAACAAGCACAACACGAGACGTCTGCCCGCCTGCTGCAGGTCTTTTCTGTGTTTTCCGTGTGTTTTTAACCCCATAAAATCACCAAATCCCAGGCTTATTATACACAAAGCCTTATTATTCAGTAACTACAGGGACTTCAGTGCAAACTGGCTGAGCAATTCTTAGGTTATAAATGTGTGTAATAAAACTTTGGCACTGCTGGTGGGCCCTGGCCTTTAAAAGGGTTAACTTACTGAGTGTGTTTACATGCACTTAATAATCTGATAACTGCAGAAAATCTGATTTTATCAGTAATCCAATCAACACATTTACATGCACTTAATAATCTGATAACTGCAGAAAATCAGATTTTATTAGTAATCCAATCAACACATTTACATGCACTTAATAATCTGATAACTGCAGAAAATCAGATTTTATTAGTAATCCAATCAACACATTTACATGCACTTAATAATCCGATAACTGCAGAAAATCAGATTTATGCACTTAATAATTCTATAACTGCAGAAAATCAGATTTTGTCAGTAATCCAATCAACTATTACATGCACTTGGGTAATCAGATAATGGGAAACTCGGGGTCTACATGACTAATAGCCAATAAACTCACAGATGAAGACGTGACGTAAACATCATGTAAAACTTCATGCCGCAGCTTTTTTCTAAACATCACACCACTTTACCTGAAAATATGAACACACATCATCTAGAAGATGAAGAGTATTCAAATCCTTCATTTTGTCAAGCATATAGTCGGTTTCTCTCGGCGACGCTGCTCGCTTATTTCCGGTACCGCAGTTTTCACACATGCTCAGACTGAGAAATCTGAAAGAAATCAGAGTAAGAGTTCACATGCACTGAGAAATCTGATTACTGAGCTAAAATCCAGCCTCTTTACCGGATTTCTTAATCAGATTTCTAGACCTTACTCCAATCTTAGAAATCAGAGTGTGCTGTTTACATGACCATTTGAATAATCAGATAACTGCAGATATGTGATTATGATCGGATTATTGAGTGCATGTAACCACACTCACTGTTAAAACAGGGACATTTCTTGGGGACAGCTCCAGCCAGGGACAGGCCACCAAAAAAGCAGGGACATCTGGCTGGCTTGTTAGCATGCTAAAGGCTACGTGGCTAACAAGAACAAACAGAAAGTCATTAGATCACAGATCTACTCCAGGTTTACAGTGTACAGACAAAGCAGTTACTCACACGTTATGTACAATAAGCTCAAACTTCATATCAGTGTTTTGAATTGCAAAATTTAAGTTTGCACGGTTAGCTGATTAGCTAACTGAGGCTAAGTTTGCATGGCTAACCTGCACTCTGTTTGAATAGTCTACTCCTCCATGTTGCCTCCTCCCTTCTGCCGTGAGTGGACAGTAAGGTAGATGTGACGCACATCTAAGTGTTGAGTGGAAGTGGGTGAGGGCAAAAACACTGGTGGTGATAGGAACCAGGGGTCGCCATGACTACAACACAAATATAGACATTTTATTTACTATCCAGAACCACCAGTGAACCTACACGAGTCTTCTAAGTTTATATGGAATGTTGATGATGGAAAATAGTGGAAAATCTGAAACAATACGTTTTCTTTGGGGACTATTTTGCCTCACAGCGCCCTGCATGTATCCCTCCACCATGAATGGAGTTTAAGGCCAAAATCTTTGTAAAACAGTGTCTCAGTCATCAGGCAGTGAATTCATAACCATTTCATGTAGTAACTTTCTGTGAGGGAGCTTTTAGAGGTGGCACCTGTGAACAGTTCTGACTCTGTAAGTTTATCTAGAACAGAGTTTTTCACACCAAACCACTCTGAACGACTCTGTTCACTCCTTAACTTTTTCATTACGCAGGAATTTTGAAAAAGCAGTGGACTTCCCCTTTAATGCACTGCAGTGTTTTTCTCATTCCTGATCTGGAATAAACCCCTCTGTTCTGCTGTTTACTGCTCTAATAAACCTGATTCACCCATCAGCTCATTACTAGGCCCTCCATGAGCTTATACTGAAGGTGTTGCAGCAGAAAAATATTAAAATGTGTAGAACAGGGGCTCACAGATGGAGAGACAAGCAGAGCCTAAAACCGTCCTTCAGCAAAAAGAGCTGTTACTGCAGTGAAATACTGACTGCAGCAGAAGTTAAAGTAAACAAGCAACAAACAACAGAGAGTAAACATTCCTGGAGTGCTGAGTTCCCCAACAGAACCACAGTGGAGCTTCTTCGTACATCCAGCATCAGCAAAGGAACTATGAGGCTGAAATCGGCCTCTTATTTGAATTTTCTGTTCCACCTTAAATGGTGCAGCCATACAGGAAGCCCCACCCATTCAGCCTACAGCAGTTTAGCCCCGCCCATTCAGCCTACAGCAGTTTAGCCCCACCATTCAGCTACAGCAGTTTAGCCCCACCCATTCAGCTACAGCAGTTTAGCCCCACCCATTCAGCTACAGCAGTTTAGCCCCACCATTCAGCTACAGCAGTTTAGCCCCACCCATTCAGCTACAGCAGTTTAGCCCCGCCCATTCAGCCTACAGCAGTTTAGCCCCACTCATTCAGCGTACAGCAGTTTAGCCCCGCCCATTCAGCGTACAGCAGTTTAGCCCCACCCATTCAGCCTACAGCCATTTAGCCCCACCCATTCAGCCTACAGCAGTTTAACCCCGCCCTTTTCAGCCTACAGCCATTTAGCCCCCCATTCGCCCATTCACCCCGCTCATTCAGCGTACAGCAGTTTAGCCCCGCCCACTCAGCCTACAGCAGTTTAGCAGTTTCACACTGAAGTTATAAGAGTGTTTCAGCCCCAACTGCTTTTTGAATGAGGCTCATACAGGGCAGCCAATCAGAACAGAGCTCATTTACATCAGTCTTAAAGGCACAGTAGCAAAAACATGCTTTTTAATTCTAAGAGATAAAGAGAGGTTGGAAAATATATATGGAATGCTGATGTGGAAAATCTGAAATAATACGTTTTCTTTGGGGACTATTTTGCCTCACAGCGCCCTGCATGTATCCCTCCACCATGAATGGAGTTTAAGTTCTCAAAACTATCATAAAACAGTGTCTCAGTCATCAGGCAGTGAATTCATAACCATTTCATGTAGGAACTTTCTGTGAGGGAGCTTTTAGAGGTGGACGTCTGGTTCCTATCACCACCACTGTGAGCAGTTCTGACTCTAAGTTTATCTAGAACAGAGCGTTTCACACCAAACCACTCTGAACCACTCTGATTCCATCAATTTAAGATCATGTTCATAGTATGTTCTAGCTAATGTTAGCAGAGGAATTGATTAATATGAAGCGGTCCAGAAGCTGAACCAACACTACAGAGTGACATTGAACCCAAAAAGGAATGAGGAGCTGTAATGTAGAAAGTAGATTACTTAGTCACTGATATCCTGGATCAAAGGTAAAACCACTGTTATTTAACACATACACACCCGTCTACACTGTTCTTAAGCACACAGGACTGAGTAAATGTGTGTATTGCGTGTGTGTGTGTGCGTGTGTGTGTGTGTGTGCTGGGCTGAAACAGTAAACCCTGATGTTATTGTATGTTGATAACGTTGCGTGCCTGGAGGCCCTGCAGACACTCAGGGTTCTGAGTCTGTGGTCAGCGCTGTGTGAAATGAGAGCAAACAGCATGTAAAACAGCTCAAACTCCTCAGCTCTGCCTGCCGACGCTCGTCTCCTCTGACGCTCAGCGAGGTGTTTAGGCTGTGCAGCAGTGTTTAGCCTGTACAGCAGTGTTTAGCCTGTACAGCAGTGTTTAGCCTGTGCAGCAGTGTTTAGCCTGTGCAGCAGTGTTTACTGACCCTCACTGAGATAATTCATCACGCACTCACAGCTGGACCGCTGATTGAAGGGGAATTCCACCGATTTAGCAAAATTAGTTAATCATTCAATGGTTTAGATGTCTACTCTACAAACACTGACACACTGCCCGGCCACTTTATCAGAAACCCCTCAGTGCTGGGGTTCAGTTAGAGGCTATAGCTCAGATACTGTTAGAGCCCCTCTCATCCTTCATCACTGTAACACACACACACACACACACACACACACACACACGACTACACTTACACTTAGTGAAGGAAATACAGTGTCTAGAAAGCACTGATAACAACATAATAATAATGATAAAGTTATCTGAGCAAAGAAAAAGAAGAAAAAAGAAAGAACAAATGCAAAGAGGGAAGACAGAAAGAAAGCGAAAAGAAAGAAGAATAGAAGGATGAAAAAGAAGTAAGGAAGAAAGGAAAGAAGAATGAAAAGAAGGGACAACGGAATGAAAAGAAGTGCAAGAAACAAAAAAATAGAAGGAAGACAGAGAGAAAGTGAAAAGAAGGAAGAAAGGAAGGAATAAAGAAGACAGAAAGAAAAAGAATGTAAATGTGATAAAATAGGAAAGAAGGAAAGGAAAGCGAAAAGAAAGAACAGAAGGAAAAATGAAGAAAAAATGAAGAAAAGAAAGAAGAAAGGAGAAAAATGTACACGTAATAAAATAGGAAGAAAGAAAGAATAAAGAAAAAAGAAAGAAAGAAAGAAAGAAAGAAAGAAAGAAAGAAAGAAAGAAAGGATGCAAGAAAAATGGCAAAATAAAAGCAAGGAAGGCTGAAAAATAGAAATAAAGAAAGCAAGAAAGAAAGAAAGAAGGACAGATGAAAAAGAAGAAAAGAAGAAAGGAAAGAAAGAAGGAAGGCAAAAAGAAGTAGGAAGGAGAAAAGAAGGAAAAGAAAAGAAGGATGAAAAGAAGTACAGAAAAAAAGAAAGTAATAAAGAAAGAATGAAAGAAAAAGAAAGAAAGAAAAAGAAAGAAAAAGAAAGAAAGAAAGAATGAAAGAAAAAGAAAGAAAGAAAAAGAAAGAAAGAAAGAATGAAAGAAAAAGAAAGAAAGAAAAAGAAAGAAATAAAAAGAAAGAAAGAAAGAAAGAACGAAAGAAAGAAAGAATGAAAGAAAGAAAAAGGCAAAAACGTAGGAAAGAGAAAAGAAGGATGAAAAGAAGGACAGATGAAAAAGAAAGAAAGCAAGAAAGAAATAAGAAAAGAAGGACAGATGAAAAAGAAAGAAAGAAAGAAGGATGAAAAGAAGGACAGATGAAAAAGAAAGAAAGAAAGAATGAATGGAAGGAGGGCAGGAAGGAAGAAACAAAGGGTGGATGAAAGAGAAGAAAGAAAGACACTCAAACACATAATTATGAAAACATATTCATAATTTTCATATTTTATCCAAAAATATATTCATCGACCGTCACTGCACGGTTATTGTTGTGGGCGTGGCCTTGCACATCAACAGCCGTGACCCGAGTCCACGAGTGGGCGTGGCCTGTGTGCTGGCGCCTCCGCTGTTTCTTTTTCTTCTGGAGTTTCACTCCAGCGCGCGAGAGCTGCAGTCATGGCCCGGCGGAGGGAACGGGTGTGCGCGTGCATGAGCCTCCTCATCCTCATCATCATCTTCATCATCATCATCATCGCGTGCTCGGCGCGGCTCGTGGGCCAGGACTGCGAGGGCAACACGTTTAAGAAAGCTGCGGTGGCCGCGGACTCCGAGACCTGTTCGGAGATCGGACGGTGAGTGAAAGAAAAATCTCGGCAAGTTCGTTTGTTTGGTCTAATGTGCGATTAGACTTCAGCTCAAACCGCTGAAAAGACCAAAAACACCCAAACGTGCTCGGTTAACACTTCAGTAAGTTGGAGTTGGGTGTTTAGACGAACTCTCCGTTCCACCTTAAATGGTGCAGCAGTTACGTCCAGGCGCCTGAGACGCCAGAATGTAACTGCTGCACCATTTAAGGTGGAACGGAGAGTTCGGCTAAGACGCCAACTTAGTGCTGTGTTTATGAGCACAGTTGATCGTGACAAAGCAGAAAGACATCAAAATGCGAGTGACCTGCAGCAGAGTGTCATCTAAAGTCTATTTTTACAGTTTTTGCTGCAAGAACTTCTCGTGATAACATCATGATAAAAGACAATGACGTTTATCATTCAACTTTTCCTGAAACTGAATGTAAATAAATGCCCCAAAACCCACATATGCCAGTGCACATTGACCAATAAGCTCCATATTCAGCTTACAAATGTAAACAAATGGCCCTGAAACACTGTTCTGATGTACTTCCTGCATTCATTACAGCCCACTTTTGGTTATTGTTGTTGATGGAGCCACTATGTAGGTCTGTTATAATCCAGGCAGGCCAGGCCAGGTAACAGGTCAGGCACAGGAGATGATGAAGAGGTGAAACAGCAGGCCGCAGCAGAGCTAAATCAACTCAAGTGTCTGCGTTGTAATTGGCTTGACACCAATCTCCAATCTCCCAGCCTGCTGCGCACCACCTCGCCCCGGAGAACGAAGCGCAGTTGGAGCGGAATATCAGCCCATCGCGGAGAGGAATGCCAGCCTGCTGCTATTTCGTCACTTCCAGAGAAGCAGGGAGATCACTGGACTCCGAAAAAGCCAGCTAATGAGATCAGCCTGTGGTTGATATAGGCGCTTCCCAGTTATTTACGGAGTGTCCAGCTAATAGGTGTTAGTGGACATGCAATGAGGGCCCGTATCCTTCAATTTTCACCTGCTGTATGTACCAAATCCAGCCTTGGTTCACTTAAAGTGACCATTCTCAGTCCTTTACCTCTGAATTTGTGTTGCCGTCCCTTTGAAAGTCATAAACCTGTATGTAAATAACCCTTGTTCTGATTGGTTTGCTCTTTATCGTGCCTCATTCAGAAAGCAATACTTATAACCTGAGCGCTAATGGGCGAGACTGACCCACTGTAGGCCAAATAGTTGGGCATATACAAATGTGCTGGTTCTTGTGACATCATGAAAGCAGTGAATTCAGAGAAGGCAGCTTAGTGTCCATATATGGAGAGGGTGGTACTTTTGGAGCGTTTACAGTGTTTACATACTACACCAAACTCTTAGATAAAAAAATAAGGGGGAAAATCTGTTTTCCCATCAGACAGGATCTTTACCAATTTTTTTTGTTTTCTTTGTAACTTTCATTGCCCCCCTCGTAACAGCCTGCTTTTTCTTTCTTGTGCTCCTCAGAAACATCCTGCAGGAAGGCGGCACGGCGGTAGATGGCGCAATTGCGGCACTCTTATGCACATCAGTAATAAACCCACAGAGCATGGGCATTGGTGGAGGAGTTATATTCACCGTAATGGAGACGAACGGTGGGTTTCTGAATATTTCAGGGTTCTTATTGTTATTTTGCGTGACAGAAAGATTATATTTTGTTAATTTTTTTATGAGGAGATGAGGTAAACCTGAAATACCTGCACATATACATTGACATCTTGTACATCTTCTGTCTATATCTTATATAATCTGGAGTGTATATATATATATATATATATATATATATATATATATATATATATATATATTATACTCAAATTACATATCGCTGTTGTCGGAAGAAAACCTTGTATCTCCATTTTTGTCTTGTTTTTCAGTTTTTCACACGATTTGTAAATACCTATTAACCTTTACATTGTATGTAACTTTCGTGATGAATGGACTAAAAGAAACGACCCAAAATGACTTGAAAAAAAGTCTGGTTCCATTGACTTACATTAAAGGTAAAGTAGGTTTTTTCCTTCTCCTGTAAAGTTACCATTTTGGAGATACAAGGTTTTCTTCCGACAACAGCGATATATGGAAATGTGTACAACTGTACATATCATAACTTATATAACTATTACAAAAATTGTACATTGGAAATGGTGCAATATTGGTGTATATTAATGTGTATTTTTTAATACATTTTTTATTTATTTTTGTATTTAAGTTCTACAAGGGGGCAACGCACCTAAGATTTTCACTCACCTTTGCACCTGTGTAAATGTGAAGTGTGTCAATAAACATGATTTGATTTGTCAATAGAAATAAAACAAATACAAATAAAATAAATCACAAACTGAATAATGGTCATATGAATTGTTAAAGGGTCCATATCATCACCATATCAAGAAAAAAAAAAATTGTTAGCAAATTTTTGATGGAGTAGTCCGCAGAGCCCTTATATGAAAAGTCAGCAGTAAAAACAGCTCGTTAAGAATGACTTGTTTTTGTGATGTCACAAAACCCAACTCAGAAGCACGGACTGCTTTTGAGCAGTCTGTGCATAACAAAACGCCTGTTTAATTGTAAGGGAAAAAGAGAAGCTGGAAAAATAGTCTCATAAAAATGAACTGTGGCTGTTTTTGGCACATTAAAAATGAAAATACATAAGCGTAGGCCCTTTAAATCTCCTTTGGTCCATGATCTCTGAGCTCGGAGCACAAAATCTGAAGGGATTTTTCAAATTGTTCAAAGAGTTTTTATCACTTAATTTTTCATTAAATTGAGTTTCAACAGAAAGTCCAAATTTGATTGTGAATAAAATATGAAAGTTACATGAAATCAAATTTCAAATGGGCTGAACGATTCAGGGAAAACGTCTAATTGTGATTTTTTGGACTAATATTGCAGCTGCATTTTAAAATTTGCGATTATTTTGTATAAATTAAGTTTCAGGCCTGTTTTTTACTAAGAAGAACAGAATATCCACTTTTTTTGACTTGAGGCTTGAATCCTGAATGTACTGCACCAGACCGCCAGCAAGTCATGGTTGTGATGTCACAACACACAGAGGTTTGGTTGCCTCTGATTGGTCCAACTTATCTACAGTCACTTCACAAGCTGTGTGTTATTATGTAATTTACCTGACTTACAACTTCAGACAATGTTTTGATAATGTAGGCTATAATTAATATAAAAACAATTAATATAAAAATAATTAATATAGAAACAATTGCAATTTGAAAATTGCACTCACTTAAATTGCGATTTTGCTAAAAAACGATTCAGCCCTATTTCAGACCACAGTTATGTGACCTTTTCTCTCAGCTCTCTGAGGAAAGTGATCCAGAGCTGATCGTTCAACATCAGTATCCAACCTCACTAACGCTCAATCAAATCCTCACAGCAATGTTCCAACATCTAGAAGCCTTCCCAGCAGAGTAGAGGCCGTTACCGGTGTAAAGGGGGACAAACTCACTGTTAATACCCTTCATTTCAGAAGAAACACTGGAGTCCACAGATGTTTGTGTAGATGTGTAGCTGTCTCTCTCTCAGACTCACCTGTCTCACTGACTTTATCACATCTTTCCAGGTAAAGTGAAGATCATCAACGCCAGAGAGACGGCTCCAAAGCTCGTCAAAGCTAACCTGCTCTCTGAGTGCTCCAGTAACTTCCAGCAGGTCGCAGGTAGGACGCTAGCAGGTCGCTACCGTTGAAAATAGGCCACACTACACTTAACTACATCAAAGAAATGAGTCACCACTGCTGATAGTGAGACGATAGTGACCTGTAAGTCTTACCAGAAGTGCCGCATATCAGAAGTATTTATTATCACCCACCCCTAATTCTTCAGTGATGTGAAGCTGAAGTCAGATATTCTCCAGCTTCTTGTTTGAATTTCCTCATTCCATCTTAAATGGAGCAGCAGTTCTGATGCCTGAGGCACCAGAATGTAACTGCTGCCCTATTTAAGGTGGAACGGGAAATTTACCTAGGAAAGGACCATAATACACTGAAACGACATTAACTAAGATAATACAGTGGTTATTTTTAACAGAGAAAATATTCACATTTGTGGGTTTCTTCTGTTGCTTTGCTTTGCAGGGCCATGTAGCCCTAATACTTCGCCTTTCGCCTTTATCTTAACAACAGTCAGGACACCCTACCCCTAGACGAGAACCTGCAGAACAGAGGGGTAGGGGTGAGAGGTGAAATGGGACTGGCCCAGAGTGTGAGAGCGCTCAGGCTGTGTTCAGACTGCAGGCAAAATTGATTTGCTTCTCGAATCAGATCTTTCGAGTCGACTGTCCGCTCTGTTATTTGCAAGCGATCAGATCAGATTTGTGTGTCCAGACGTCGGCAGTCTATCTGAATGGGTTGTCGTGGTAATGATGTAGACGTCAAAAATGCATTTGTTCAGTATATTTTAAATGCATTTATTTGTATTTGTTATTAAGGGTACAGATATAACTAAATATACATGAACTGAATGACCAGTACTGACTTTACATTAACCATGTACGTCTGCAGTCAGACTCTCACACACAATGTATTTCACATAAACAAGATATCAGATCATAACTGCATTTTCACAGAGTATCGATACCCACAACACTCGCTTCTGTCCTGATAAAGGGTCATTTGATCATATTTAAAATGAAGAGACTGGAACACAAATTCATTTCTAAAGGTATCAGACAGTGAAGTCTATCTGTCCATCTATCTATCTGTCTATCTATCAATCAATCTGCCTGTCTATTTATCTGTTTATCTATGTGTATCTGCCTGTCTGTCTATCTGTCTGTCTGTCTATCTTTCTGTCTTTCTATCAATCTATCTATCTGTATGTCTATCTATCAATCTCTGTCTATCTGTTTGTTTGTCTGTCTGTCTATCTGTCTATATCTCTCTGTCTGTCCATCTATCCATGTGTCTATTTATCTTCTATCTGTTTGTCTGTCTGTCTATCTGTCTGTCTGTCTGTCTGTCTGGTTATCTATCTGTCTATATCTCTCTGTCTGTCTGTCTGTCTATCCATTTGTCTATTTATCTTCTATCTGTCTGTCTGTCTGTCTGTCTGGTTATGTATCTGTCTATCTGTCTCTTTGTCTGTCTGTCTGTCTGTCTATCTATCTGTCTATCTATCTCTCTGTCTGTCTGTCTGTCTATCTATCTATCTATCTATCTATCTCTGTGTCTGTCTGTCCATCTATCCATCTGTCTACTTAACTTCTATCTGTATGTCTGTCTGTCTATCTGTCTGTCTATCTATCTGTCTGTCTGTCTCTCTGTCTGTCTGTCTATCTATCTCTGTCTGTCTGTCTGTCTGTCTGTCTGTCTGTCTATCTATCTGTCTATATCTCTCTGTCTGTCCTCTATCCATTTGTCTATTTATCTTCTATCTGTCCTGTCTGTCTGTCTGGTTATGTATCTGTCTATCTGTCTCTTTGTCTGTCTGTCTGTCTGTCTATCTATCTGTCTATCTATCTCTCTGTCTGTCTGTCTGTCTGGATATCTATCTGTCTATCTATCTCTTTGTCTGTCTATCTGTCTATCTATCTGTCTGTCTATCTCTCTGTCTGTCTGTCTGTCTATCTGGTTATCTATCTGTCTATCTATCTCTTTGTCTGTCTATCTGTCTGTCTATCTATCTATCTGTCTGTCTGTCTGTCTATCTATCCACATCAACAGGGACAACCAAGTTGATAAACAGGAAGGGCTTGTTTGGGATTTTTCCCCTTGAGAGACTCTCATACACACAGATCCCAGTACACATTCCTTCACGCACACCTTCAGTCTCTGCCGGGTTAGAGAGCACTGGAATGTGCCCTCTGTGCTCTGTCTGTATTTCTGTCTAGTTCAGGTCAGTCCAGACAGTCCAGCTCACCTGGAGCAGGTATTGAGTGTTCGAGGCTCAGTTCAGGTGTGCTGGGAGGGTGAGACCCTGAGGACTGGGCTGAGAAACACTGCTTTAGTAGTAGAGGTGACACAATAGCTCTGCTTCATTTACAGTACTGATAACAGGAGAACGACTTCAAGGGCGACTTAAACTAAACCACAGCTCGTTTATTCAACAGAACTGAAAGATCACAAACAGTACAAACGTGCAGAATTAGACTGAATCTGCCGTTAGTGTCAGTGCAGTGAACCTGACACCTCACACAGGTGCAGCGCCTGAATTTACCTCTTAATCATGACCACATAATTACAGTAATGACAGAAATGCTTTGTTCCGCCATCCGTCTCCCTCTCTGTCTCTGTTTCTCCGTCTCTCTCTCTCTCTCTGTAGGTAGTCAGTGGATCGGTGTTCCCGGTGAGATCCGTGGTTATGAGCGTGTTCACAGGCTGTATGGTCGTCTGCCCTGGTCCCGTCTGTTCCAGCCCACCATCCGTCTGGCCAGAGAGGGGGTCAAAATGCCAAACATGCTCTCGCGCATCCTCTCGTACTTCGGCCAGACCCCTCTACTGAAGTAGGTGCTGATGAGGGACGCCTCTTTAAAGGGCCCATACCCTGCATTTCCCTGGCTGTTTTAGTTACTGCACTTTTAAGACCGATATATGTTAATGAGCTCTGTTCTGATTGGCTGTCTTCTATTGCACATCGATCAAAACAGAAACTAAGTACAGAGAGAAGAAAGCGTTAGTTTTGTTTTTCTGTGTTTTATCAAGAGTTCAGAAGGGTTTGGTCTTTAAGGAAAGCTGGAGCCGAGCTGAGCTCAGTCTACGGCTGCGTTCGTTTATTCTTCTCTTATCAAACATCTAAAATAACATCAGTGTTTATCATAATGTTAAACACTAAAACTGAACCTAATAGAAACTAAACTAAAGCTACTACTTTTCGGAAAATAAAAAACAAAACTGAAACTGTTAATTCCCCCTTAAAACCTACTGAAACTAAGCTGAAAACATAAAAAATAATAAAAATTTCAAAACTATAATCACCCTGCACATGACTTTGGGATAGCAGTGAATTAACCCTCCTGTTACCTTCAAATTTATGAACATCTTTTATTTTTGGAGTCAGTTTGATCGCAGCGATTTAAACCTCCAGGAAATATTAAAGTTCTGGTGGGAATTTCCTCACCTGGAAAAGGATGGCATGCCCCCTCCAGGTGAGGGGAGAGGAGCTGCCCCAGGTGGAGGAGTTTAGTATCTCGTGGTCTTGTTGACGAGTGATGGGAAGAGGGATGGTGAGATCGGCCGCAGGCTGGGTCAGGCAGCAGCAGTAATGTGGTCACTGTACCGGACTGTAGTGGTGAAGAGGGAGCTGAGCCATAAGGCAAAGCTCTCTGTTTACCGGTCGGTCTACATCCCCACCCTCACCTGTGGTCATGAGCTGTGGGTAATGACCGAAAGAATGAGCTCAATACAAGCATCGGTAATGAGGGTGGTGGGCTACACTCTACTGACAGGGTGAGGAGCTCAGAGTAGAGCTGCTACTCCTCCACACTGAGAGGAGCCAGTTGAGGTGGTTCAGGCGTCTGATCAGGATGCCCCCCTGGACGCCTCCCGGTGGGGGTTTACCAGGCATGGCCTACTGGGACGAGACCCCGGGGTCGTCCTAGGGCCCGCTGGAGAGATTATATCTCCCGGAATGAGCTGGAGGAAGTTGTGGGGGACAGGGTAATCTGGGATTCTCTGCTACTGCGACCCCATCTGGACTAAGTGTCCCCGGCCCCCATATGGTATGACTACCAGTGGTTCTTGCTCTACTACAGGTGGGGTTCTGTTATATTAGGGCTGTAAAGCAGAGGGACTTTTTTTTTAAGATTATAAAATTGCATCTTATTGTGACATCAGTATCATCCAAAACAAATGTGTGAAAAATGTTGGTATTTCTATTTTTTTATACAGATGAAACAGCTGGAACACCGATGATGTGTACAGATGTGTACAGGACATTGAAAAAAATATAATTTTATGTTAATGTTAATTTTATGTTCACCTAGTTGTCACCATTAAATTAGGAAAAGTTGCTAAACATGAAGAAAAAAGTGATGGCGGTCAACACTGAATGGGGTCAAATTCACCCCAAAGATGATAAAGAGTTAAAAATGTTGTTTATTTTTCCTGTAGAGAAAACGTTTAAAGTTTTTTCTGGGTACGTCACCAAAAACAAACTGATGGACAGTCTCAGAAGGTCTGTTACACAGAATAAGTGCAGCTGTGTCTCTTTCTCAGGCAGCTGTTCGTGGATGCAGAGGGGAACATGCTGAAGGAAGGAGACATTGTGAAGTTTGAGAAATTAGCAGACACCCTGGAGAAGATAGCAGAGCGTGGAGCAAATGAGTTCTACACAGGAGAAACAGCCACAGACCTGATCAGTGACATACAGGAAGCAGGTAATAAAACATGACACATCTCTGAGTGACTTGTTTGCATACAGCCTGCATGTGTCAGTACAAAAGAGGACCTTTTGTGTTGAGTTTGCTGTGCCATCACAGTTCTGCTGTGTGTAATGTGTGATGTGGCGTATGGAAGTGTGCCTTGTGTCTTATTTAATGAGTACGTTGTCTGTTTAAGGTGGAACTGTCACCATGGAGGACTTGAGATCATTTGAAGTGTTTGAGTCTGAAGCCTGGAAGGTGCCTCTGGGCAATTACATCATGTACTTCCCCCCTCCACCTGCAGGAGGCGCAGCGCTCAGCTTCATACTCAATGTCATGCAAGGTGAGGCAAATTTGCTATTACAGTTCAAGGCCTGTTTCACACAGACTAACTAGGTCAACTTCAGCTCAGCCATTCATAAAATGCAGCTTTGCAACTTAGTCATTAGCAGTCTGCAACTTTACAACTCAGCCATTTACGACTTCACAACTCTGCCTTTCACAAGTCGCAACTTCTCAACTTGATCATTCACAAGTCGCAACTTCAAGCTCGGCCTTTCCCAAGTCGCAACTTCTTAATTTGATCGTTTACAAGTTGCAAATTCTGAACTCGATCATTTACAAGTCACAACTTCTCAACTCAGTCTCAACTTTGTAGCTCTGTCATTCGCAACTTAACAGCTTGGTCATTCGTAGGTCGCAACTTCGCAACTCAGTCATTAGCAAGACGCAACTTTGCAACTCCGTCACACCTTCACAACTCAGTTTCACAACTTGATCATTTGGAACTTGACCTTTCGCAACTTGCAACTTTGTAACTCGGTTATTCAGAAGTTGCAACTTTGCAACTCAGTCATTCTCAATTCTCAATTTTGCAACACAATCATTGACAAGACACAACTTCTCAACTCAATCATCCACAAGTCTCAACTTCTTAACTCATTCATTCACAGCCTGCAACTTCACAGCTTGGTCATTCGCAAGTTGCAACTTTCCAGCTCAGTCAATGGCAAGTTGTAACTTTGCAACACAATTATTCACATAAGACAACTTCTCAGCTCAATCATTCACAAGTTGCAACTTCGCAACTCTGTCATTCACAGCTCGCAACCTAACAGCTTGGTCATTCGCAAGTCACAACTTTGCAACTTCACAACTCGATCATTTACAATTGCAACTTCGGTCATTCAAAACTTGCAACTTTACAGCTTAATCATTCACAACTCGCAGCTTCACAATTCAATCATTCGCAGCTCACAACTTTAGAACTTGGTTATTCACTAGTTGCAACTTTGCAACTAATTTATTTGCAACTCTCAACTTTGCAACAAAATCAGTGACAAGACGCAACTAAACTAAACTCCACAAGTCTCAACTTCCTAACGTGGTCATTCACAGTTTGCAACTTCATAGCCCGGTCATTCGCAAGTTGCAACTTTCCAACTCCGTCATTTGCGGGTCGGAACTTTGCAGCTCAATCATTTATAACATGCAACTTCACAACTTGCAGTTTCACAACTCTATCATTCACAACTTGATCATTCTCAATTGCGACTTCACAGTTTGGTCATTCTCAGCTCCCAACTTTGCAATGTTGTCATCTATAAGTTGCAACTTCTAAACTCTGTCAATCACAACTTGACTATTAGTTAACATTATTAATGTTGGTATTTTACCATTTTGAATCAGCCAGTTTATTAGAGAAGTTTCCTGAGTGTTTCAGTTGCTTTGCCGATGCTCGGTCATGTATGCAGAGTAAGGACTGATTTCTCTGTTATCTTCACTGTGACTCTCTTTGTCCAGCTGCTTTTGGCTGGTGAGTCTTTTCGTCCTGAAGCAGCTCTGTAGTGCTGATGTTCTGTGTTCTCTCCAGGCTACAACCTAAAGCCAGCATCTCTACAGAAGAAAGAAGAACGTGAGCTGACCTACCAGCGCTACGTGGAGGCCTGTAAGTTCGGTAATGGACTGAAGAGGTTCATGAGAGACCCCAGGTTCGGCTCTGACACGGTAGGTCCTGCCGGATGAACTGCCTGACCTGATTTGTTTATGGGAAAAACAACATGCTAATGTGTTTATTTTTAAAATATGGAAAGGAGTTATGAAATTTATTTGACCTGGAGCCAAACTCACAACCCAGCAACCCACAAACAGACACTTCACATCATTTACAGACTCACTCCATCATTCATACTGCAGCAGTTAAATTAATGTAGTTTTCTCATGAAAATCCACACAATAGGGCTTTGAATTTATTAGGTCTTAAATGTATTAATTCATTGCACATTAATGAAATATATCATGTTATCAGAATTACAGCCAACAATGAAAAGCAGTACAGCTTTGTCATTATACATACACACTGATCAGGCATAACATGATGACCATCTCCTTGTTTCTGCACTTGTTGTCCATTTTATCAGCTCCACTTACTATATAGGTGCACTCTGTAGTTCTACAGTTACAGACTGTAGTCCATCTGTTTCTCTGATACTTTGTTAGCCCCCTTTTACCCTGTTCTTCAGTGGTCAGGACCCCCATGGACCCTCACAGAGCAGATACTATTTGGGTGGTGGATCATCCTCAGCACTGCAGTAACACTGACGTGGTGGTGGTGTGTTAGTGTGTGTTGCGCTGGTCTCAGTGGATCAGACACAGCAGTGCTGCTGGAGTTTTTAAACACTGCGTCCACTCACTGTCCACTCTATTAGACACTCCTACCTTGTCAGTCCACCTCGTAGATGTAAAGTCAGAGACGATAGCTCATCTGCTGCTGCACAGTTTGTGTTGGTCATCCTCTAGTCCTTCATCAGTGGTCACAGGACGCTGCCCACAGGACGCTGTTGGCTGGATATTTTTGGTTGGTGGACTATTCTCAGTCCAGCAGCGACCCTGATTATTGTATCAGTTAACACTCAAGGTATACTCAAGTTTTGTCCAGTACTCAAGGCTGATATATCAAGGTATTCAAATTATTGCACTTTAAAAGAAGCAGCTTAAAACATCTCATCACCCAGTGTGAGGATAGATTTGTTATAGAACTGGATCACATTTCGTGAAGATATCGGCCCCAAACTGATTCCCCCTGACACTGATGGTAATGTGTTAGGACTGGTAATGATGTCATTACGGTGCAGCCTGATGCTCTGAAACCGTCTGCTTGTGGTTTCTGGGTGAGTCAGAAGCGTTAATGCTCTGAGTGAAGCTCCTGGTGTAAATGTGTGGTGATGATGGCTCTTCAGCTCCATCCTCTCCTCCAGCGGCAGATGCTGAAGGGTGTAAACTGATAAACCATCACTCAGCACACATTCAGCCTCTGGATGGTCAGATCCAGTGGAGAGAAAATGGTAAAAAAGAGCTGCAGATTCAGGCAGGTTCCCAGGTTCCTAATTATATATGAATTATTTTTGACTTCACTGAAACAAGCAGAGAAATTGTGTGGAAAGTGCAGATTCTAAACCTTAAGTCCACCATATTAGTGTTAGTAGAATTTGATGGAAAATTATTGTTGTGTGAAGAAAGAAAAGTCATTGTTGTACATTTTGCCATTTTTTAAAAATATTTTTTGACATTAAACAGCCGCAAAACATCTTGATTCAAACTTGTACAGACAGAATAAATTGAACATAAAAATGAATAATTACATGACTGCCTAAGGTAATAATGACAAGTCAATACTTATGTAATTTTTTTACGTAATTAAAAATGATATAATGTAAAAACATAGACATGTGTAAAATAACCATAGATAGGTGTTATGTAACAGTGGTGTAACCATGGAAACAAGGAAAGTGTAAACATGAAAATAAGTGTAGTGCAACCACCATGGAAATGGATTTATCACAACAATGCAAATAATTAATATTTGCTGTATTTAAAATTACATTTGGTTAACTGTGTTTTGGAATGATTTTTTGCATTAAAAAACATGAACTGTTATTACTGGTATTGTTGGTATATATATATATATATATATATATATATATGAAGGTTTTTAAATATATATGTACTGAAAAGTTTTAATCTGGTCTCGGTCTTGACTTGGACTTGATGTGTGTCCCAGTCTTGGTCTTGATTCGAACTTGGATCTAGCGGTCTTGACTACAGCACTAGATTCTAGATCATACTGGTATATGGACATAACAATATATGGTTTAAAAATAAGCATCTTTTACCTTTATGCCACATTATTATATTTGAAATTGAAATGACTTTTTTCATTTTAGTTTAATAATGTGTTTGTTTTATTTTCAAGAATTTTTGCATTCATTACAATTATTCATTTCACGTAATAGATGGCTTTTCTGCTCACATAATGTGTCTAATTATATATTCTTTAAATCTGGCACCACTATGCAGTTTCATATCACAAACACTTAAGGATTTTGTTACTAAAATGTATTATTATTATTATTATTATTATTATCATTTTGCCTGTGTGTGTTAAACAGGAGGCGTTCAATATGACTCAAAAAGAGTTTGCTGACCACATTAGAAAGATGATCACAGATGACCAAACCCACGATGCTCAGTACTACAACGTCACCCCAGGAGTGGACACTCCGGGCACCACACATGTGTCCGTGCTGGACGAGCACGGCATGGCTGTGTCCGTCACCAGCACCATCAACCACATGTGAGCACATCTGCTCTCATGATCTAGACGAGTGTAGCTTTGGTTTCAGAAGTTGGGGAGAATGGTAGAAAGTTGTAGCTCACTGCATACAGAAAACACCGCTAATGTTAAGTTAGCTCACTAAATCCAGATAGCGAGCATATTTCGGTCCACCAGCTTGATAAGGTCAGCACCCCGCTGACTGTATGCCACTGTTGGTCCACCCTCGGACCACCCAGATTGCACATTAGATTAAGTGACCCTTATTAGTCCCACAATGGGGAAATTCCACCTCCACAATCTAATCCATCCGTGCAGTGAAACATCACATACATACTAGTGAAGACCCACACTAGGGGGCAGTGAGCACACTTGCCCGGAGCAGTGGGCAGCCCTGTCCGCAGGGCCCAGGAAGCCTTAGGTGCCTTGATCAATTTTACAATTGATTTAGTTGGAAATGTTTTTGCTGGCGTTGTTCTAGATTAGCTATAACCAGCTTAATTTATGATGTATGACCGCTAATGCTAATGGTAATGCAAGCTAACATGGTAATTTAGAGCTAGAAAACGTAGCCATGGAAATGTAGCGTAACTATGGAAGGTGTTGTAGTGTAACCATGGAAATGTAGCGTAACTATGGAAGGGAGTGTAGCGTAACCATGGAAATGTAGCGTAACTATAGAAGGGGTGTAGCTTAGCCATGAAAATTTAGCGTAACTATGGAAGGGAGTGTAGTGTAACCATGGAAATGTAGCGTGACTATGGAAGGGAGTGTAGTGTAACCATGGAAATGTAGCGTAACTATGGAAGGGGTGTAGCTTAGCCATGAAAATTTAGCGTAACTATGGAAGGGAGTGTAGTGTAACCATGGAAATGTAGCGTGACTATGGAAGGGAGTGTAGTGTAACCATGGAAATGTAGCGTAACTATGGAAGGGAGTGTAGTGTAACCATGGAAATGTAGCGTAACTATGGAAAGAGGTGTAGCGTAACCATGGAAATGTAACGTTTACAAGTGTAAACATAAAAATGCGTGCAGACCCCAGTCCAGGCATCGGTAGTATAGTTACTTCAGGTGGTCTTTCTGGATCAGCTGGACAGTGTGAGGAGATGTATCAGTAGCTGACTGTGAAAGTGGAGGGAGACAGAATGGACCTTAGATGAATGTGAATCAGTGTTGTTCTTCTGCAGTAGAGATAAATGCTCATCACTGATGTAACTAACGTTTACTTTCTCTACTCGCAGATTCGGGTCCAAAGTTTACTCCCCCAAAACCGGCATCATCCTCAACAACGAGCTCTCAGACTTCTGTGGGAAAACCAACCACATTCACCCAGGTGAGCAGACCCACCTGTCTCCACTGACCTCTTTAACAGTGTTCACCTTAAGCGCTGAAGAAACGGCCGCGGTCTTGATAAATGTGTCTCTCAGTTTCCGGTTTAGCTGCTGCGACTGTGTTGACTTTGACGTATCACTGCTGAGGAGTTCAACTCTATTAAAGGTTTTATGCTATATTTTTAAAAATATTTGAGCACAAACGAACTGTCTTGTTATTTTTGCGCTCCTTGTGCATCTACTGTCGGTCTGTTAGACCCTTAATAACATTTTAAACATCTTAAATCTAAGAGGAGGGAAAGAATTAACCAGCTGTGTTTATTGTTAGGTGGGCTTTAAAGGGCCCATATTATGGAAAAACAATATTATGGAAGAATGTTGTTTTAAAGGAGTTTGAGGTAAAATATAAAATGTTTTTACAAAATCTGCCCATACAGTCCATGTTTGGAAACTAAGCTGCAAAAACAGCCCATTTTGAACTCATTGTTTCTGTGATGTCATAACAACCAGCTAATTTGCATAGATCCACCTATTAAACCTACAGCACTTTTTTCCCCACCCACTTACACTGAAGTTAATGAGTGTTTTGTCTCTCAGTGCTTTCTGAATAAGCCACAATACAGGGCAGCCAATCAGAACAGAGCTCATTTACATATATCAGTCCTAAAGGAACAGTAACAAACAACAAATAAGGGGGGAAATGGGCATGTGAGACTGAATTAGGACCACTTTTGGTACGTAAACACACACAAATGATAGAATGTTAGGGGAGTAATAAAAGTCCAAGAAAAATGTAGGGTATGGGCCCTTTAAAGGGTTATTTTTAGGACTTTTATAGAGCTTTTTACTCAAAAACATTTGGACTTTTAAACAAAGTACCACCATCGTGGCTGATGAAGAGCCTGTATCAGTGAAATAGCAAACTTTGGCTTTAATTTAGCAACGAAGAATGACACTTTTGCGTATAAGCTCATTTTTTGTACAAAATCCTATAATATTTGACGGGTCTGACCGCAGAGCCGCAGATTTACACCCTCAGTTACGCTCCAGCGGTTTCAGGCCGGTGGAACTCATGCGCAGTAGGACAGCGTGACTGTGCAGGTAAACAAAGGAAAGTCAAGTATTACGAGCATCTCATTAATATTTCAGCCAGTGGCCGGTCTCCTCATTTATAACCTCTCTGATGTAAACAGCGACTGATTATGCTGGTTGTATGTGTCGCCATGAACATTACCATTCAGGAAGGGAGACCATCACCAGTATACAGATCAACCACTGATAACCGGTTAAACCATAAACCAAAACACATTACAAAACCATCAGAAACCAAAAGAGACACTTAATAGTTCCTAAGGATTTCTTTCAGCTGGGATACGTTCAAAAACTAAACTTAGTTTTAGCCTAAAGCAGAGGTGCAGAACTCCGGTCCTGGAGGGCTGGTGTCCAGCACAGTTTGGTGATTTGCCTTTCTGCAACACGCCTGATTACTCTGATCTGTTAATTGGAAGGTTTAGTGGGTGTGTTTGAGCAGGGAGACCTCCGAAGTGTCCAGCTGTGCACCCCTGGCCCAAGCTTAATATTTAATCAGTGTAATTAAGGTGCTTAAGGTAAAGTTTTATTCCTGTACAAGCAGGTTAAGTTCACACCTTGGCTACGTTCACATTACCAGGCTGAAGTGGCACTAATCCGATTTTTTGCCCTAATGTGACTCAGATCTGATGTTTTCAGAGCTGTGTGGACACAAATCTGATCTTTTCAAATCCGCCCTGAATCGCTTTTCATATGTGGTCCTAGATCTGATACGTATCCAGTTTGTGGCCTTGTGACCTTAATGTGACGCTCAGATCGGAATTCATGTGCTTTTTTTCCCACTGCGCATGCACCATCGTTCAGCGTTACCATGGCAGCAGCGCCGAACAGAAGTTAAAGCCTGTAAACGGTGGAAAAGCAGCTCATCTCACCTTTTTCTCCTTCGTCTCGCTCTAATAATGAAGCTGAGAGCTGATCAGAGTTAATTATCTTCTCAGCGAAGCTCGTTCTGCTCGTTAGTTTGTGCTGATGATGCAGTGATTCATTCACGTGACGTTACTGAGTAGGATGAGCTCATGAGGGTCATTTCAGGACGCCGGTTTGTTGACATAAATGACCTATTTGAATCACTTACCTAAATGAGTGTGAACCATCATTCGTGATAAGATGGAATGGAAAGTCCTTAGTGATTTCCTGAGTGTCCATTGGTCAGTTTCACACAGAATGTAGACGGACACACGAATCCACCAGTTCCACACGGTGAGAGGCAGATGACGTGTATCTCAGCCCCTCTTCATAGGCTCATAACTCCGGATGTGAGTCTCGTATGATCTCGTGATAAGATGGAATGGAAAGGGCGACTCTACAGATTCAGGAAGTGTTTGAACTGGATTTCTGAGCTGGATCATCACAAAGATACAGACACAGATATAGAAACAGAGAATTTGGCGAGTTTGTGGAGCCCAGAGAGATTAACCAAACTAAAGCGTTCATGTTTTCCTCTCCACTAAAGAGCTCTGTAATGCTGGTTGTATCTGTATGTGTGTTTAGGTGAGCAGCCTCCTTCCTCCATGGCTCCGGTCATTCTTGACTCCAAAACTGAGGAAAATACTGTTATTATCGGAGGTTCGGGGGGCAGCATGATCACCACCGCGATGGCCATGGTGAGTTTGGGCCAGAACTTTTGGCTGTTCAAAGGGTTAACTTTCATTTTTGTAAGACACGATGTGTGATTTAATCCAGTATGAATTTATTTTTACAGTCTGACAGTAATAATTGTGGAGCGATTTTAATCCAGTATGAATCTGCAGTGTGTAGTTTTACAGTCTGACAGTAATAATTGTGGAGCGATTTTAATCCAGTATGAATCTGCAGTGTGTAGTTTTACAGTCTGACAGTAATAATTGTGGAGCGATTTTAATCCAGTATGAATCTGCAGTGTGTAGTTTTACAGTCTGACAGTAATAATTGTGGAGCGATTTTAATCCAGTATGAATCTGCAGTGTGTAGTTTTACAGTCTGACTGTAATAATTGTGGAGTGATTTTAATCCAGTATGAATCTGCAGTGTGTGTAGTTTTACAGTCTGAAGGTAATAATTGTGGAGCGATTTTAATCCAGTATGAATCTGCAGTGTGTAGTTTTACAGTCTGACTGTAATAATTGTGGAGCGATTTTAATCCAGTATGAATCTGCAGTGTGTGTAGTTTTACAGTCTGACAGTAATAATTGTGGAGTGATTTTAATCCAGTATGAATCTGCAGTGTGTGTAGTTTATAAAGTCTGACTGTAATAATTGTGGAGTGATTTTAATCCAGTATGAATCTGCAGTGTGTGTAGTTTTACAGTCTGACAGTAATAATTGTGGAGCGATTTTAATCCAGTATGAATCTGCAGTGTGTGTAGTTTTACAGTCTGACTGTAATAATTGTGGAGTGATTTTAATCCAGTATGAATCTGCAGTGTGTGTAGTTTTACAGTCTGACGGTAATAATTGTGGAGTGATTTTAATCCAGTATGAATCTGCAGTGTGTGTAGTTTTACAGTCTGACTGTAATAATTGTGGAGCGATTTTAATCCAGTATGAATCTGCAGTGTGGTGACATGATGTGAAAATCCAGGCTGTGAAATTTAAAACTACACAGATGCTTCCAAAACTAATCAGTCAATAAAATTCTGCACATTATGTGACACAGGCTCCTCTGGGAAAACTAATCCAGCAAGATTGTGCTTTTGCTCCTTTTCTCTTTCTTCTCCTGTAACCTGTTTAGACGCTCATGAACTACCTGTGGTTTGGAAAGAGTCTGGAAGATTCCATCTCTGCACCTGTCGTTTATGTGGATGGCAAAAACGCACTGAAGTTTGAGCCCAACTTTGACAAGGTACTAAAGTAACAACTTCCTTATTACTCAACAAATTTTCCCCAAAGTTGTTTTGTTATAATCCTCAGACACGGATTAATCTAGTTTGAGGTGGAATGGGAAATTTCGACTAGGAAGCTGGCTGTTGCACCATTGAAGTTGGAACAGGAAAACTTGAACAATAAACTGGCTGCTGCACCATTTAAGGTGGAACAGGAAAACTTGAACAATAAACTGGCTGCTGCACCATTTAAGGTGGAACAGGAAAACTTGAACAATAAGCTGGCTGCTGCACTTTTTAAGGTGTACTGTGCAAATTCGAACAAGATGCTGGTGAATAAGAGCTGAACTGACTTCAGCTTTGTGTAAGAAGGTGTTAATCTATTGTGAATGTCTGTACGGATTAAGTAATGCTGTAACTAACCTACAGTGCTTAGGCAGCATTAATTATCACTGTGAATAAATAAATAACCACTACATCAAATCAAGATCCACCATATAGGCTATTAGATGAAATAAGCTTAATATAAAATCAGAGGAAAAACAATCACATCAACAGGTTCTCTGTGCTTCACCAACCACACGGCCATATCTACACAAACATCACACAGACAATACACATCACGCAGACATGAGTGTGGATCACTGCGTTCCCTCCGTTATATAATCCTATCCCACTTTCTGAGAGTAATATTCTTCAAATATTATAATTTTGGACAGTATCTTTCTTAAACTGCCGCTCTGTAATGGTACTGAATGCAGTCCAGCAGCGATGTTGACCGCCTCAAAATGGCGGCACCGTTGACGTGCCTGGCTGAACCCAACGCAGCATCCATGTATGTGTATGTAGGGTTAGAACAGATATGTAAGTAAATATGAGCAAAGATCATAGCTGACAGGATCCTAAAGCACTGAAAAAGGTTGGAGGAAGCTTTCATTGTAAAGGGTGGGCAAATAGGTCATTTAAAGAAAGTGTGTAGTAACGTTCAGAAAGGGTTATGCAAACTGTGGCCTACAGTGCAGTAGTTTACTGAAGTGCTGATTATCCTCTGTGTATTCTCTCTCTTTCAGGATGTCATCGAGGCTCTAAGAGGACTCGGGCACACAGTTCAAGACACAAAGCTTTTCTTTAACGTGGTCAACGGAATATCAAAGCAAGAAGGAGAGTGTATCGACGCTGTTTCAGACGCTCGGAAGATGGGCAAACCTGCAGGATACTGACCTCTTCTTAAGATCTGACTCGTTTAGACCACAACACTCTCACTCCTCTCACTCCACACAGAACACAAGAACAAATGTTAGACTGATGTTACAGATTACAGCAGCAATCGAAGAAGAAACTGTAAGACCTTCAGCGTTCTTATAGAACAGGGCTCTCTTTCAAGAACCCGTTTCGGTATCTCACTACAGGGACATGCCCCTCTGAAGTCATATTTCACTACACCAACTGTGAGGTGTGCACCGTGGAGGCGGGGTCCCCTCCTGCCTTATAATTGATGGCACGGCATCATAAAATCAGTCTAAAACCTCTTCTCGATCTCAGAAGCAAGGTACCCTCTCCGACATGGTAAACGTGGCTAACAGGCGAGCCGGACTGTTCCCAGAGTGAGCTAACCACTCGGTCACCGAATGCCACCTGTTTGGTCCTCATCTCATCCACTTTGAGAAATATCGGCTAGCCTGTCTCCAAACAGTAGCCTCTGCCAGCTAGTCACCTCACTTTGCTGTGCTTCGATGGAAACATGTCAGCAGTGGACCCTTCCCTCACCATGGAGCAGAGCGATGCCCCAGCCAAGACGTGTCTGTGGGAATAAGATCTCGAGTGTGGACACCCACACAGCTTGCGCCTCGTGCCTAGGGCCACGTTAGCATCCCCGGGTTCGTGTGAACACTGCTCGCTTTTCTCTTAGGAGCCTGAGGCGCAGGTTAGCACACCAAGCTAGCCTGACGGGAAAAGATCCCACGATGGGGGAAACCATTCTCCCATCACTAGACTCAGCAGCAGACTCTCAAGAGCCCGACATTCCTGAAGGAGCTACCTGTGGCGACCAGTTTGACGCAATTTCTCTGATAGCTGACTAGGCGGACACCAGCGTGGCCACAGATGGCTCTGACTCTGGGGAAGAGTTTGTCGCTCTCATTTCCGAAGAGGAGGACAACGACGAGTCCTTCATTCCCTCTGCACAGGCTGCTAAACCCGTAGCATCAGGGAGCGAGTGCAGCGTGGCTGATGGGTCGCCACACCACACCGCCAGCATGGACCTGTACGACGTCTGCAAGAGGGTGGCTGAAAAGCTCGGCATCCCTGGGCCGGGCATCCTCAGAGAGACCACCACGTCTCGATATGAGGGGACGTGTCTTCTAAAGGCGAAGTGCTCCACAAGACAACTGCTGCCAGTTTGAGTGGCCAACTTCAGCAGTCAGTCTTCAAGATGAGCTTGTCTGGCAATACGGGAGTCACAATATCCCATAGTGAGATACCGAAACGAGTGCTTGAAAGAGAACTTTATGTTACAAACGTAGCCCCGGTTCTCTGATAGCATGAGTGAGGTATCTCACCAGACCACCCTCCTTGCCTAGAGCGAGGAAGAGGTGTGCTTATGTAAGGCAGGAGGGGACCCCTCCTCCACGGTGCACACGTCACGGTTGCCAGCCAGTCACGACTGGCATAATGAAATATGGCTTCTGAGGACAACGTGGAGGGCGATGTCCCCGTAGTGAGATACCTCACTCATGCTATCAGAGAACTGGGGTTATGTTTGTTACCTAAAGGTTCCTTCACATTGCAACCCTTTTTTTGGGGTTACAACTATCAGGCGACCCTCTCTTTGCCAACACACACACACACACCACTATACACATTCAGAAGATTACAGAAGGATAATCGAATAGTATGTCTACTCCCTTACTGGGCCTGCTGAGCAAGCAATTCAACACAAAACCACAAATCTTTAGCCGCCTTCATCTGCAGTCAGTTAAGACCCTCCCTCAGTAACAAGCTCACTCAGTAGAAATTCTGCACACTTAAATGTTGAACTTAGATGGTTCTTCAAGGGTGCTTTAGTAAAGAAAATGGTTCTATATAGAAACATGAACACTCAAAGAACTCATTGCATGATTAAAGTTATTTCAGATAGATGGAGAATGTGTTTTAAGAACCTTTTTGAACACGGTTCTATATAGCACCAAAATGCTTCTGCTGTTGTTACAATGTCAAGCTTGTAACAATAGAAGAACCCTTACTGTAGAACCCTATACAACTCATTTTCCATCAATCTGAAGAACCTTAATGATGCAACGAACATTAAATCATGAAAAAGGTTCTTTTCAGTGTTCATGGTTCTATATAGAACCATTTTCTTTACTAAAGAACCCTTGAAGAACCATGCTTTTCAAGAATGTAGGACACGAATATTCGACTACTCGGATATTCGTTTGTTGGGAAGGTTTTTGGTTTTTAATTTTGGGATTCAGATATTCGTTTTTTTTATTTTGGCTAAATGTCGGCTGTCAATGAAGGCAAACTATGAAATACTGTAATGTTTGGGGTTCTCAGGAGAAACTTGGATGAGTCGAGGCTACAGTTCATAACGCAGCTTTATTTTAATTTCCTAAAAACAGCACCAAACATGGTGAGAAGAAACGGCCTCTCCAGCGCTAACAGCTAAAACAGAGCAGAGCCCTCTGCTCCACTGTGTTCCCAGCACGGCTGCAAACAGCGCCCCACCTGCTGGACACGTACTCGTACCTCGAGTTAGACCCCCTCCGTGAAGCGCTGGGTAACCCGTCCAGGCACCAATGTTACCGCCCCCCGATGATGCCCTCCTCGTGCCGTGTTCATAAATATGAAAGCACAGGAGCTGAGAGTGAGGAGAGAACCACCCTCACACACTGAGCTAAACACCCCCAGCACCTCCTCACAGGGCTGTGATATTCCAGCTGTCTGTACCAGCTGCACATAACCCGGTTAATCTGAGCTCAGTCTGTAATAAAGGTGTTGGACTGATTAGGTGAGGATTCTTGCGAGTCTCCATAAAGCTGCCGGTGTTGCATCCGATTCACATTTCCCTTCACAACTCGGACCCTCAGGCTCGACTTACTGAACAGACATCAACAGCAACACTGGAACTACAGAAAGCGAAACGGTTCAGGAAAGGTCAACGTTAAATGGCCATTGTTACCCACTGTGTCAGCCTTTCTTGAAATTGTTCACGCTTTCCGTAGTTCCAGTGTTGCTTGCTGTTCAGTGAGTCACGGCGAGGTTTCGGTTTATGAAGGGAACGTGAATTTGAGGGGGAACTGAATCGGATGTAACACCGGTAGGTGCCATGGACAGCTTGCAGAATGGCAGGATTAAGGGCCACTGCAGCAAACCCTGACTGGCCGGTGATGCAGTCTGTGACCTTAATGTCAAACTGAATGAAACTTAGAGTTCAAAAAATCCACTTTATTCACTCGGGATTCAGGGCATCTAAGGAATCAGGACCCAGGTTATATGGAATATGGACCTGCTGAACAGATCATTAGAAGCTGTCACGGTTTTAGGGAATGTTCTACCGTTCGGCGCCTCTGTCGCTCACTGCACTATGTTAACTCTTCGGCGGTTTGAGTCAGTGACTCATACTGTTAAGGTTTGAGACGAGCTGCCTGATCAGAAACACCTTCCCTCACTGAAGATGGGGATGGTAGTGGAGAAAAGTCATCAACCTCGTAAGACTCTCAGATACAAAAGTGCCGTTTGGTTCTGTCTCTCTCCGTATTTTCTGGTAGCTACCGTACGCTAGCTCTAAAAACACAGCAGCCCAGCCCACCCGGTTTCCCTCGCAGCCCCACCTCCAAACATGAACATCACTGCAGTGCCCCTCCCAGTGTGCCCCACCCACTTTCGAGCATTTTTCAAAGTTGAGCCAGGGGTGGAGTCAGCTGAAAGTAGTGGGGTGTAGTTACTCTTTAGTGCTTCGACTATGCGCTGCTGATTACTGCTGAATCTCCGGAGCCCAGAAAATGGTATTCAGGACAGCCCAAAGGAGTTCATCACTGACAACTGACAATCATAATTTCATACAACTGTTAAAATGATCTTCTCTGTGTTTGACAAGGAATATGTAGCACCACACTCACAACCCCACTAGGACCACCTCGCGACCGTGTGCCGACCCCCAGCTTAACCCTTTAATGTTCTGCTCAACCATTGGGTAGAGCACATTTTGAGTCACTATATATGCCACAAAGTGCCGTTTGGTAGACGTGAATATTTCAAAAATTGTGGGGTCAAAAAACCAGAAAAAAAAACCACCAATTGTTTTATTATTTCCCCACACAAATAAAAAATACACAAAATAAACTGCCATTGTTTTTTTCTTGGTGAGGACATTAAAGGGTTAAGAACCCCTCTTATGGAAGTTATAGATGTGTGAATGTACTGTAGCCCAATAGAATCGGCTCATATGTTTTATATATTCAGTTTTTTCCCTACAGATGAAACCTCAGAGCTTTTGCTATATATATAAACCTGTGCTGTTGAATGTCTACAGTTTGGGATGTTTAGCAGGTTTTTGTTTGTTTACTCTTTTTAATACTAAGCAATGTTGCAGCTGTTTTTTGTATTAAATGTTACTTTAGAGAAATTACTTGAATTACTCCACTTTATGTTCAGCGCACACATTAAAGGGGAATTTTTTTTATTTTTTTGCATAATTAAACAGTTAAGATGTAAACAGAGTCATTCAGAGTGGTTTGGTGTGAAACGCTCTGTTCTAGATAAACTTACTGAGTCAGAATTGTTCACAGTGGTGCTGATAGGAACCAGACGTCCACCTCTAAAAGCTCCCTCACAGAAAGTTCCTACATGAAATGGTTATGAATTCACTGCCTGATGACTGAGACGCTGTTTTATGATCGTTTAGAGAACTTAAACTCCATTCATGTTGGAGGGAAACATGCAGGGCGCTGTGAGGCAAAATAGTCCCCAATGAAATCTTATTATTTCAGATTTTCCACTATTTTCCATCATCAACATTCCATATAAACTCAGAAGACTCGTGTAGGTTCACTGGTGGTTCTGGATAGTAAATAAAATGTCTATATTTGTGTTGTAGTCATGGCGACCCCTGGTTCCTATCACCACCACTGTAAACACATCTGAACCTTTTCACACCAAACCACACACTCAGTTACAGTGGAATTCTCCTTTAACAGTGAATGTAATAATTGAATTCTGGTCAGTTTTATATAGAAGTGTGTTTTCACCTCTCCTTCACGTTTCTGTTCAGGGTTCTAAAGTCATGTTTGAATGTGTTTAATGTTCATTTTATTGCTTCCAGGACTGTATTGTTTGTAAGTGATAAAAAAAGGTTTTTCATTGGTGTGTAAGTAGGATGTTCTTAGTTCTTAGCTGTTCTAAGGTGTGAATGTACACAGCAGTAGTTATTTACAGTGCTGTATCTAAACCTGCTCATGTGATTTGAATGTATATTTAACATCTGCTATAAAATATATAAACATGTTATAAAATATAAAGGTGTACACAAATAATTGTAAATTGTGATTATAGCCTAGATATCAGTACCACTTTACAATATAATCAACATAAGTAAACTAGAAAAGTGCATTTCCCGAATAAAATGCAGAGCGATTGTGCAGCGTCAGCAGCTCCCAGCTGGTTGTTAGGGTGTGGCCAAAAAAGTGTAATTTTACTTGGTTGCTAATGTGTTCCAGGTGGTTGTTAGGTGGCTGCTATGGTGTTTATGTTGGTTACTTTAGTGTTGCTAGGTGGTTGCTAGGGTGTTGTAAGATGGTTCCTATATTACCTCTGGTGGTTGCAATGACATCCCTTTTATTTGCTAGGGGGTTGCTAGGTGGTTGCAGTGGTGTTCCAGGTGGTTGTTTGTGTTGTTATGGTATCCCCGGTGGTTGCTAGGTGGTTGCCATGACATCCCTTTTATTTGCTAGGGGGTTGCTAGGTGGTTGCAGTGGTGCTCCAGGTGGTTACTTGTGTTGTTATGGTATCCCAGGTGGTTGCTAGGTGGTTGCCATGACATCCCTTTTAGTTGCTTGGGGGTTGCTAAGTGGTTGCAGTGGTGTTCCAGGTGGTTGCTTGTGTTATGGTATCCCAAGTGGTTGCTAGACGGTTGCCATGCCTTTTCAGTTGCTTGGGGGGTTGCTAGGTGGTTGCAGTGGTGTTGTTTGCCATGGTGTTGCTGCATGGTTGCTATAGTATCCCAACTGGTCTCTAGGATTTTGCTACGCGGTTGCTATGGTATCACACATGAACGCTAGGATGTTTGTCAAGATCACTGTTGCCCTTTTTTTATTTATGTGTTATTTATAACTGCTTATTAATGATTTAAAATTATTTATGGCCTAATTAACCAATAATAACTATTCATAACCCCTTTATAATGATAGTCTTATTGTAAAGTGGTACCATATCAGTCATGTACAAAAGTTTGAGCACCCCTAGTCAATTTACATGTTCTCTGTGGAAAGTTCCACAGAGAACACACTTAAATATGACATTTTTCTGAAACTTTTAGCACAGTTAACACAAACATGTTGGAATGAAATATAAAATGTGCCATAACTTTTGCACAGGCCACATTTTATGTTTTTATTTTCCTGAATATGTTAAATTCAGTCAATAAACAGTAACTGTGCATTAAAATGTGCTTAAGTGTGTCTGTAGGGGATGAGTTCACATTGATTTTCACTTAGAACACTCGACTGTATATCACACCCACTTATACTACCCCATCCATAATTCAATAAGCCATCTCTCCATTCACTTTTCCATTCGTTGTGTTCATCATTGATGTATCAAAGCTGTGTAATTTAGCGCTGGAGCTGCTGTATTATCAGTCGCAGCACCACTGTTTATTTAATATTACATGGATACACAAATCTGTTGTTTATCCTACTGTACATTTAACTGTAAACTATTAAATAAATCTCATCTTATATAAACATCTACAGTCTGGCTGGATGAAGTGAGTGAGGGTCATGTTTAATGCAGCAGATCGGGTGAAGAGATATCAGATAAGGTGATCAGGAATAGCCACTCATTGTTTCCTAGAAGGACATTAGAACATTTAAACATG